ACCCAGCAAACAGCCTGGGATGAGCCATGCCGTGGGCAGCCGCCCCTGGGGCCCACGCATGGCTCTGGTCCAGTGTCACCCAGCAGCTATCGACCAACTTCAGCTGTACACCAGGCTGTAAGGCACATTTTGGGTGCAGGAAGGGAAAGTCTGCACCAGCCAGAGACCGCAACGTTTGCCCGAGGACAGGGGAGAGGGAGCAGGTAGATGCCACGAAGCGGTGACACGATGCTGAAGCTGCTGTGACTCGTGTGGGAGGTGACGGATGCTCCATGCCCGATGCCTCGGCACTTGCTATTTTCTGTCGTTCGTGGGCAGCAGGGCTGGGGGGAGGCCTGGGGAGTCACCGCAGCGCGGAGGAGACATGCAGCAGCCCCAGCACAACCCTGGGGGAAGCCACTGCCACCCCCAGGCAACTTCCAAAGGTCGGGAACCACTTGCTGGAGAGACTGATGAAATTTTTCTCTTTCTGTGAGAGGGTGTTGGAGGAGAGATACCGTACTGGATGGCAAAACTGGCATCAAAGCCTGGGTTTGGGACCCGCAGCTCCCGTGCAAGCAGGACATGCCCTTAGGACGGGCTGCTCCATGGCAGGAACCAGCACACACTTGTACAACGTCTGCTCCTTACCCCGGCAGAACATTATTATTTTTGTAGCCTTTGAGCACCAAAAGCAGGAAAAGAAGGCAAACTCATGGCACGGAAGAACACCACCCTCTCTTCCCTCTCTGGGGAGGGTTTTCACATCCTGCTTGTGCCATGACTAAATTAAAGGAATTAACTCCTGTGGGCTGTTGGAGCTGAAGCTCCATTTGCTGTGTCTCCTGCACATCCCTCCGCCTGGAGCCGCTGCTCGGGAGGAAGCACAAGGAGAGGTGCAACATTATTTTTATCTCCGCACCCACATGCTGTGCAAAAGCTGAAAAAAAAAAAAAGCAAAGCACAGAGCCTTTCACAGGCAGCCCCCCCGAGAGGCTCTGACGCACGGAGAAACAAAGGCACATGTGTGAACAGAAGTTATATACTTTATTTAAAATAAAATACCCTCTGCGATTGCGTGGGTCTAAATTGAGCTAATAAAAGCCGAGGATGTGCCAGTTCAGGAGTTTTGCCCCTGCAGCTCAGCCAGTTCTGTCCTTTAGCCCCTGTGGTGGCCGGGGCCTGCAGGCACCACTGGCCAAGCCTGCCTGGCTCCTGAGGTCTCCACTCTGGGGGAAAGGAGGTTGGAAAGGGCATGAAGTGCCCACATCCCCCCACTTCATCATGCCCTTCAATGAGAAAAGCTAGAAGTGATGCTGGCAGTGAGTTTGCTCTCGCTCCTGATGTTTTCTGTTAACCCCCTGCAAAAGGAGTGGTGGCCCTGGCAAACCCCCCCTTTCACAGCTGGTCTGTGGGGCTGGGACACATCCAGGGTCCCCACCCCAGCACAACCCGTCAGAGCCACCCGGGCTGGCTGGAAACCAGGCTGCTTGTAGGATGAGGGATGGCTCTGGCCACAGCAATCAGATTTAAAAGGTCATGTTTTGGAAAGCAGTTTAGATGACATTAATTATTAAAGCCTCATAACGCTTGTATTAAGGGTAATAGTTTTCCATATGATTTATATAGCACTGAAATTCATTACCAATCTTTTAATGATGTTAGGGTCAATCAGGCACAAGAGTGCTAAATGACTTAACCCAAAAGGACCAGGAACCAATCCAATGAGTTTTGGGATGCTCTCACTGCTCTCTTTCCTTCCTTCTGCCCTTACTCTCGGTGCTGGTTACTTTTATAAGCATTTCTGATGGGTTTTTCCTGAAATCACACCTAATCAGTGTCTCAGACATGGTTATTCTTGTAGGAAAAGCAATGAATCCTGTAAAAAGAAGAGTGTTTCTGGAGGTGTCACTGAAAACATTGATGTTCTAATGAAATTTTATATGGATTGTTGTGGAGTGTTTTATATGAATTTGTAAGTCTCCCTGTTAGGGAAGCTCAGTAATAAAACTGACTTTTATTAAGTGCTCTGAATAAGAGTGAGATAAGGGAGGGATGGATGAAGTCTCTGAGGCTGAAAGAAAAATAGCACAGATGTGGATAGAGCATTGGTTTGTAACCTGAGAAATGACTGCCTTGGGTCCAAGCTGCCCAGATACCTGCACATCCTGGACCTGCACTGGAGTGGCAAGTAGGGAATAAGCCCAGGGCTGCTGAAAGGCCAGTCCCTGAAAACCAGCCTTTACTGGGCAAACCCGGCAGCTGAAATGCTGCTACAAACACCTGAGCATCCCGAGCATCCCACTCACCTGGGTCTGCGCAGGGCAGCTTTGTAGTGCAGGAGTGGGATGGCACAGGTGGCAAACAGCTAAAACAAATGTGGACAAAACCATCGGTCTGCTGGGAACAAGGGGCATTGCAAACCCCCATGGCACTGCAGACCCCCTTGGGCAGCTCCAGCTCGGCCTTTCTGCAGGGCAGCAGCAGTGAATTAGTCTTTGTTAAACTAATGCAGGAAGCATGGGTATGTGTACACAGCCTTCCACAACCCAGCTCCTTTCACAAGTAGTTTCTGAAGTTTGCAGTAACTCAAATACTCACCAGTAATTACAGCACGTGCATCCTGTGTTCCTGAGAGACAGAGTCAGGTCCCCACCACATCTGCTCCAACATCCAGCCACACGGACCAAATACTCAGCATGACCTTCACCAGCCCAGCAAATGGCCACGCTGCCATTGCCTTTGAGGACCAGTGGAATTTTTATTCCTCCCTTTGCTGTGGGGAGGGGTCTGAACCCTCTGAGGGCTGGGAAATTAATTCCCAGCATGTGAATCACAGGCTCTGCTGTGGCAGAGAAAGAGATGGGGGATTTTTTCCAGCCTTGTTGGGCGAGAATAAGATTTAAAACACTTCTAAGAAAACTTCCATTGTGGGATTGGAGTTTTTTATTCTCACTCGGGTATTGCGCTTTAAATTGGTTTTGGAATTTTTTTTCCCCTCCTTCATCAGATTGTGCAAGAACATCTCCTGAGGTGGGATGTCAGGCGCTGACTCAGGGACCAGTAATGTACACTGGAAGTGGCAGCTGGTGTCTGACACTGTCACCCTGGCAGCGAATGAGCCAAGTCCCTTGAGAAGGAGACAGTGTTGACTCATTTCTCATGAGAGCTGCTTTATTTCATGCTCCTCCTTGGAGGAAAGCAGGAAAAAAAAAGGCAAAATGGAAACCCTTGCAGGTAACTGTGGGTCCAGACTTGCCACCGACTGTTCTTCTGGTCAGGTCCCCATTTCTTTGGGTTTAGCATCACTTTGGGAAGGTGACAAGTGACAGATGCAGTTGGGGAAAAAGCTCCTTTGAAGACCACCCATCCACAGATGGCAAGAGCTTTCCTGATGCGAGCCCTCACTGATTTATCTCTGCTTTACCACAGGGCTTACTTGGGTTTTTTTTCAGCCAGGCACCAAAGGTTGCCTTTGCCTATGCAGGTGGGATTATAATTGCCTTGTGGTAATTAACGCAGTCATCATTTTAGCTACCCTAGCAGCTCTCAGAGGAGATGGTTATATTTGCAACTCACGTACGAGGTCTGTAAAAATGTTCTGAGATTTCTAAGTCAAATACCCAAATCTCTAAAGGGAAGTTGTGGCTGGGAGAGGGAGGTCGTGCCTTTGGCAGGGGGTGGCGGCCGGGAGTAATTGCTGAGATTTATCGAGTGCTGGAAATGTTCCCGACGGAGACGGTCTCATGTACGGGATGCGGCCAGCATGGAGATTCAGCCTCTCCTGCAGAAGCCTTTGACTCTTAATTTTCCCAGGGACTACCAGCCAAATTTTGCTTGCTTAGAAAAAATCAAACAAAAATGCACAGTTTGTACAAATTCCCTTCCTCCCACCCAGGAGGCCATCTCCACCCTGGGCCCAGGCAGCAGAGGAGCAGGATCACCTGCAGCCAGTTTGCTCTGAAAGCCCCAGCTCCTCAGCACCTGTTAATGATACTCCTGTCAAGCTGGAATAATTTTCCACCCCTCCACCAGCTGTGCCTTTTTCTCAGGGGAAAGTCTGGAGGGTGTTTAGAGACTCTGGTCTAATGAGCTCTGTCTCCCCCAAAAAGCCAACGACCCTGTAGCAGCCTGGAAATGCTATTGCTGTGAAAAAAAAAAGCATTTCAACCATTCCTTTGGGCAAACTCAGCCAGAGTTTTCTGCAAATTAAACTAACCCAATTATTGAATTAGCACGAGACTCAATACATTTGAGACCAAGCGGAAAAAGAAGTTGTCTGTCAAGTTGACACAATATTTGTACATTGCTTTAATGTTTTGAAAATAAAACAATGTCAGCCTAAACAGGGCACGTGTCTGTACTTGTAGTGAGTTCAGCTGGTGGGACTGGGAAGTTGTGTCCTCTCCTCCAGAAGGGCTAAAACAAGTATTTCATGGCAAAGGTGGGTCCCTGAGGGTCATGAATCACCATGAAACAAACCCTCTTCTCAAGAAGCCCTGGCAGAGGGTGGAACAAACCACCCAGGGCTCACGCTGGGATGTCAAAAAGTGAAGCTTGAGTTTTCTTGGGGTCTAACTGCTAAGAAGGAGGGCACATCGCTCCACCAGCAACTCGCACATCAAGCTTTGAATCAGACCCTCCAACCTGAGACCTTGCTTCGCTCCTGGGGCTGTTCCTCCCTGGGGCACCCACACCTGAGCCCAGCGAGGAGCTCAGCCAGGGACACATGGGCTCCCAGAGCCGCCCGCTCACCCCTCGGCATCAGAAATCTCTTACAGACATATCTTTTCCCCAGTTAAGCCTCTTTTTCTCTTGATTTATTAACAGGAATTAAAAAAGGGCCCAGGTTCAATTTCTGTGTATGAATGGAGAACCAAGGGCCGGATCTGGGCAACCTCGGGGCTGATCACCCCGAAATCTCTGCCGCCTCTGGGCCGGGGCAGCGATGTCCTGGGGCTACCTTTGCCGAGGGAATTTTGAAATGAAATTTCATAAAGACAGGCCAAACTCTCACAAAAGCAATGGTCAGTATTTTTATTCATACACACTGGCTTTGAAACTACAATTAATATTTAACAAAAGCATTTCATGCAAACAAAGATTGAAGATATTGCAAATTTAGAAAAAAAAGATGCTGTAATTTATACATCAGTCTTGCCCACTATACTTCCAATGATTTTTTTTGTTTGTTTGTTTTTTAAAAACATGTATGGCCTCTCCAAATTTTCTGGTAGCATCTTGCAGATAAATCATAAGAAAATAAATAATGTTCTCCTCTTTATAAATACAAAATTGGGGTCTTAAAATAATATTAAAAATATGGATGAGTTCAAGGTGGGATTACTCTCCTTGCTTAAAAAAAAGATAACATTAAAATAACATGCAATCATCTTAAGTTTCAGGTGTGCTCTGTATTGCCATGCAAAATCATACACGTGGTGGGAATCACATATTTTTAAAAGAGGCAATGAGCTTCAATTTGTTGAAATTATTTTTCTTACGTTCATTTCAATAGCGCATGAGGGAATAAAAGAAAGACTTTGTGGGGAACAAGCCAACGATTAAATTTGCATTATCCCTGCAAGAGCATTTTTTTCTGCCCCAAGCCAGCAGGGCATCCGAGTGTGCAAACGCCGCTGCCTTCCCCGGGAAGCGCGGCCGCGCTGCTCGAAGGTGACCCCCACCCTCCACGCTCTGCTGGGCACCGACGGGCACAAGCACAGACAATATTTTTGGTGAACTGGGGCTCAGAGGCTTTCGGTGCTGCCCTTCGTGCTGCCCGGGGCTGGACCCCGCCGTCCTGGCTCCCAGCACGCACGGAGCACAGCGCGAGCTCCCGGCACGGGGCGGTTTCACCAGAGGCCTTGGACGGCCAAGAGAGGGGCACAGGAACCTCTGGAAGGACAGAGCCTCTCGGGGTTCAGTCAGAAGGAAGATAAATACAATTTAAGTAATTCTTAGGAAAAGGTTTATAAAGATCAGAAACACAATTTTTCTTCCTATTAAAATGTTCCTGTCACCAACTTAAAATTACAAAACAAATTTAAGATCAACTGTAAACTTCCCAATGTATCCCGTAGTGAGATACGAGCTCCATGGGAGGCAGGCTGGGGTCAGTGGTTGGTGCTCTTGCTCCTCTTCCTGCATGTCACTGCTTAAAGTTATTAATTGACTGCTGATTTATTGTTTTCTTTTGGTCAACTGACATCAATGGAAGAAAAAGCATAGCTTCTCGGGCAGTTTTCTTTTTAATTTGAGCTATGACGTCACACACAAGGAAAAGAAAAACTTGAAGATACATGACACAGGAATACATAGAAATATCAACGGAATGAACCTGTCATGGACGGACCAGCTGCGTAACGAATATCGCTTCTCCTTCAACAGGAGTCAGTACAAACATCACTAGAAAACAGCTGTGCTGACTTCATTTATCCATAGGGAATCCCACCCTACAATAATCAGTTCTGCTAAGACTTCCATTTACATGGAATTTTTAAATTGCACACAGAAATCTCAGTAACTGGAAAAGGTCAGTGCAGCTGACCTACACAATCAGCAAGTGTCCCTCCCCACCACACCCCGGCTCCAGTTAACAAAAGCTGGACTCCAGATTCTGTAAGAAACATATCAGATCTGATTTTATTTCTCTTTAAACTGTTTCAGCAGAATTACTAAAGCTCTATAAAAAAGTAGAAATAGCATGGTATATCCAGCAATACCATGTGAATCGAATAACCTGATTTCATATTAAAAATTATAATAATACTTACACAACTCTTTTCAGGTTAAAAGTGTAATAGAAACATTACCTAAGAAGTCCTCACACCTCCCTGTGAGGTAAGTAAGTATTATTACCCCCATTTTACAGATGAGGTAACTGAGGCAGAGAGGTTAATAACTTGCCCTCTCTCTCAAGGTTTTCCTAGGAACAGGAGGGCTGTAGTGCATGATTATTCATTATAAGGCTATTTAATTACCAATTGTTACTGGCACGGATACTGGTTGGTATGAAATCATACACGTTTATGGAGTCAATTCTTATTTAACTCTTCAACTGAACTATTTCAGATCCCATCTAAGAGTGCAGAGCTGAGGACAAAAGTGCTGTAGCTTGTCTGTTTTCACAGCCGAGTTCCTGCCACCGACCAGCACCGGGGAACCCAGCGCCGAGAGACGACGCTCACGTCAGCGGAGAGACAAACCCTACGTACAGTGACACGTGACTAAAGAACTGAAAATCACTTTAAATGTTTCCAGAAGTTTCGTGGCAGGTCCGAAAGCCCACTGTAAACTCAATACTGTAAATATACTTCCTACTCATATCAAAGCTTTATTATTGGATCATTATATTTCCAATGATGCGTTTTGCTTAACAAGGAGTATCACCCCCCTCTGCCAATGGCATGTGTCCCCCAGGGCATTTAACTGGGACTGCAGCCCCACGCACCGAGTGACAAGAGTCTGCAAGTGGAGCTGCTCAATCCTGCCCTTGGACACGTCGTCTTTCCAGATGAAACACAAGTTCCTCTCTCACTCCACCTTATTAATTTTACAGGAGCCCAGCATTATTCAATTGAATTCACCCCAAAAGACAGGATGGATTTCAAAGGCCAACAGCATTTAGATATGATGAGTTTCTTTTAAACTAACAGCTGATTTCCAGAAGAACCTTCTTCAGGTTGTAAAGGGAAATTCAATTGTATTTCTGGAAAGAATGAAGGATCATAAAAATAAATTGCATTTCTCTTCTAAATTGGATTAAAGGGGAGTATTTTATTATGGGAATGTGCTCTCTCCTTCTCAAGTATGTGCAATCCTCTAAGAGCACCAAGGCTGGCTGGTGGGTGAAGTGGCCGTCCTGGAAACCCACCACCCTGCTGAAGTGACTCAAGGTGGATGAAAACACCCAGATGCCCAAACAATGAAGAAATTTTCCTAGGAGACAGTTAAGTCCCATTTAATCCCTGAAACAGCTTGGAAGCTTTTCATGCAGACCTGTGTCAGCAGGAACGGGGCTGCTCTGGAGCCCTTTGGGACTGGAGCGCACGTGGGACGGAAACACGGCTCCCCAGACTCCCACCCCAGCTTCAGTGTATTGTAATTTCCTATTTGACTTTTAGAAATCTTTGTGGTAACGTGGGTGTTTGAGGTACGGTTGCTACTGAACACAAGTGAGAGAAATGCAGTTCTAGCACCTCTCCCGCTGTTGATGCACGTTCTCTCTTTTGCGTCTTGTGAAAAGTATTATATAAATAACACCTATATTTAAAAAGATATGAAAAGGCTTGCTGGATGCTTAAGGTTTTACTTGCCGTTATAAATTTCTGGATGATAAACAAGCCCCCTGGAGTTCTCTCTGAAGGGCTGGTCCAAGTGTGAGCGTTCACGTGTGGGTGCATTGGGAAGAATAACACAAATATTCAATCCCTGCTTTATACAACCCTGTCCTGTTCCTGCGGGACCCAGGAGGTGACAGTTCCCGTTTGCAAGCCTCACAGACACCTACAGAAGAGACACGAGATGTCACAAGCCCAGGGGCTTGAGAGACAACATTGAAGAGGAATTTCTGCATCTACATCAGAAAAACTGGGGAACAACGCAAGTGCCTGAGACACTGGTTATGAGAAGCAGCCAGAAAGGGAGCAGCTCTGTCCAGATGTTAGACCAGCTCCTTGATGCTGTGATCTGGTGGGAACAGCCGCGGCCACCACAGCTGTGCCAGCAACAACCGCCCACAAAAGGAAATCCCTGCACAATTTGTATTCCATCAGGAAAAACAGAAGCATTTGGAAATGTTGGCCCGAGGGAGCTCCTGCCCGTTCCCGGCTTGGTTCTGCCCCTCTGCTGCTTTTCTTCCTGCAAAAACACGGGCGCTGGTATTTCTCCCTGAATTTCCTCTTCTAAAAGTATCTTTTTTACTTCACATTCTTAAAACAATTGTAAATGCTGCCTCTCTGCAGATTTACTTACTTACGAGCCCCTTATTTATCAAAAATCTGAGCCTCAGTAATCTGTTGAATCCATTCTCTTCTACAGCACGATACCCAGATTCTCCTGATCTATGGCAGGCTAATAATATTCAGAAAAACATAAACAGTCATGAACGTTGCACTAGTTCACATGCTTTATGGTTAAAACCATAATTTTAGAAGTATATAATATACAAACGAGAAAATGAACTCTCAGACGTGGCTGGTAACATATTTGACAGACAATGGTTTACAGTTTTGACTCCTAAAATATTTTAAAATTTTGAGTTCTGTTTATTTAGGCAACGGTCTGAGTTCTTGTTAGTCAGTCGATACCCCTCGTGAGCTCTGTGTTTCCCCAAGCCCCCCAACAGTGGGGTTCACTCATTAACCTGCTCATTAACCCTTCCCTGGGGAGATGCTCCTTGCTCAGGGCTGGGGCTGCAAAAGGACCACGACCGGGCAAAAGCCAAACTTCTGGAGTGTCACAAATCCTATGTCCTGGGCACCAGAAATACAGCTGCCGAGGGCACCACGGGCGCAGAAACAGGCCCCAGTGGCTGTTCCCATCCAACCCCATTTCACTCAAAAACGGCCCCACACCACGGGTCACCCCCAAGGTCAAGCCCAGCCCCTCGGCTCCCACCCGCAGGACGGGATCTCTCCATCAGAATCTTTGGCACAGGTTCCATGTTTTATTGTCATAAAAGATGATTAGAAAGTAGATTCCCCTCCCACCCACCCCAGTTACATATTCTAGTATAAATTTAAGTCTTTTATGGCAAATATCTTACTGTTTGAGTATGTTTACATGCTGGAAAAATTGTAATCAGTCTGCATGCAGGAACAAAGACATCATGCTTTTGGCATCGTCATGCACATCTGAGAGACAAAAGCGCCTGTGGCCGCAAACATCAACAAGGCAGAAGGGAAAAAAAAAAAGGAAAATGCACTGACTACTACTTTACATGCTGTAACAAAACCAAAATATGCACAAAAAATATTTACTGATATTTGAATTAATATCTTCAGGTAAGTCGTAAGAGGAAATATCAAAATTTTTTTATCTAAGTGATAGAAGAGGAGAAGATTGCATTAATTACAGTGTTCATCATTGCAAATAAAGTCTATTTCCTTCTCTGTAAGTAATAAGCAGACGTGAAATGAAAGCCTACTTGAACCTCGTATAAAACCTGCAGGTAGCAATTCTTGTTTAAAAGTAGATCTACTTTTAAAAAAAGAGATTATACCCTATGCCATTAACAATATCCAAAATCTAAAGTAAAAACCAAAACAATAGCAATAAAACATTTAGCTAAATCTAAATTATATCATTCAGAACAAGAACTTTCACAAATAAAGCACAATTTGTTTTATAAAATTTTTATAATACTCTTTATGCTTGATACGATTATGTCAATAATATAGATCTGCTTATTATTAACCCTTATTATTAAGAGTTATTACTAAACATGCAAAATTCATTGCATGAAGCATATGTAAAATGTATTAAATTCCATTCTATCAATAAAACAAGTTCTAGGTGCTTCTTTCAGGCTTGATTATTCTACAGCCCCAAGTTCTCTGAATTAAATCTGATTATTTTAAGACTAAATCTCACTTGATTTTCATGAGTTATTCTAGAGAAATCAGGAAATCACTTGGGGCTGCATTTTTTCTTAATTTATAATATATAGTGCTTTCGTAGATTTACTGTCCTATACTGAAGATTATAAATAAACACATGTAAATAAGATTTAAGGGATTACAGTTTTGGTTTACATTCCAGGTTAACAAATTTGATAGTAAAATATTGGTATTAGAACCGGCTAACAGTAAACTTGAGGAGTGATGTAAATTAAATTAATTGAACAAACAATGGCACCCTGGATCACAGAATAATCTCATGGAGATTAAAATTCACAAAAATATTATTAAAATTATTACTATTATTATTATTTTTATTAAAGACAAAATTTCACCCTTGAGTTTATCACATGCTACTTAGCAATGATCCTACAGATCTGGCCACCGCTGAAGTGTGTTCAAACTCAGTGTTACTCACAGGATGGGTTCACAAAGCCTCAGGGTCGAATTGGATTTCATCCCCCCCTCCCACCCACTCCCAACTTGTTTCTGTCGTATTTTCGAAACAACTACTTTCCACAATTTTTTTTGCAATGCCTCTCCTCCCGGCTGCCGCCGCCGTTCCAGTCTCTGGCGCTGCTGATGTCCCCGAGGTCACCGGGCAGACCAGGAACCCCCGGCACGGGGTGCTCCAGGTCGGACCCTGTGTTAGACTATTTCTAACACAGCAGAGTGGAAAAGGGAGCAAAAGGGCAGTGGGGAGCTACAAAAATACGTAACGTACCAAAAAATGGGTAAGTTTAGCCAAGTCAGTGGTGACTTCCAGAAGAGTAAGTGGGCACTGTACACTAATTTATCTCCCATTAAGACAACGTCACTGTTGCAAAGCCAAAATCCTGAATAAGTGGCCTTTCCCCCACCTTACACTTTCTAACCCTACAATTTCCAGGCCCAAATGGAATCAACAAGGCAAAAGCCTAAAAATTGTAGGGTTCCCCACCGTGGGATTTGTTCCTGGTCTGCTGTTTCATGCTACATTTTGCAAAAGGGGGTGTACAAACTGGGGGTTGACATAAGAGAACCCTTCAAAATCAGTTTGGTCTATGTTAGCGATGACCAGCTGATCCGGAGGTGTTAACACCGGCTGTCCTCGGGTAAAGAATTTATCGAAGTTTTCGGCACCTTTGCCACACTGCAAGAAAAAAAGAAAAACAGAAAAAAAGGCTGAAAAAATCAGCAATACGTTGGCAGTTCCAGCTTTTTGCAGATTTTTTCCATACTTAAGAGGAAATTTTCATTTCAGGTATTTTAACAAAAAAACCCAGGCAAGCAGAGGAGTTTTAACAGATGAATTCTGATGAAAAACTCTGTATCATTGGAATGAAAGTCGATGTATTCCCAAATTAAGAGTCATATTTAGAGGCAGTACAGTCAACTTAGAGCAACAACAAAAGGGCTTTTTATACAGGGAAGACTTTTTGCTAAAAAGATGTTCTACAGATGTGCACCCTTCTTCCATAAAATTATGCTCTTTTTTCTTTTCTTCCTTTGTTTTTCCCCTGGGAAGTGAAAGGTGGTAAAAAAAAACTCTATATCAAAACCAAAGTCCCTGTCTCCATTAAGCCTCTCCCCACTGCTTATACTAGTGGCTGAAAAATAACTCATGCGAAATGCAGGTATTTTTGGGGTGCGAATGTAATATTTATCAATAAATTTGCATGTTCAGTCACATACTTGTCTTCACACTAAAGAGCAGCATTGCTATCATCAGCATTAATGCAGTATTAAAGCAGAACTGAAAATATGGGTCTCCTGGAACTCCTAAACTTACAAATATGACTGAAATGTCCTTCTTGCCAAATAACCAGCCCATGCCTATAGTCTGTGAAATGTCAATCTGGAAGGGAACACATTACTTAAACCGACCAACTGCTGACCCAAAATCTGAGACTCTGTGTTGGAGTGAATCGTACCTGTGTGCAAAAGCAGCAGGATTATTCCTGCAGCAACGCGCTTCCTAGAGAAGATGTACTTAAAAAGGCTTTCTGAAAAAACCCCACCCCAAATGAAGCCTATAAATACTCCATATCTACAAATAGATTAATGATCATATGTTTTTTTGCTTTCTAGAATCCATATAAATACAACCAGCAATCCCAATAAGTGAGTTATACACAGGGTATGTAAATTTCAGACTTGGATTTAAAATTATTTTTGTCTGGGAAAGTTAGGCTCCGTGTGAATACGCCTTGGTGTATTTTAATAGCAGCCTGGAGAGTTATGATAACCACGGAGATGGAGCACAGATGCTCTAAACAGGAGCCAGGATCTGCCACAAAATATGCTATGATGGAACCAGACCATACTCCAAGCTTTTAGTGCCTTCATGCTGGTATTGCTTTTAGCTTCAGGGAGAGTCTAAGCACTTGTTTCCTGAGCTAATAAAACTTACAGATGTGAAGGTAGATTAGCTTAGATTTGACTCAAGAAGCATGTGATGAAAATCTGCCATAAAAGATGCTTTAAGGAGGTGCAGCTCCCTTTTGGACAGCCAGCCCTGGGCACCGGCCGGGCAGCATCACCCCATCTCTCGGCTTATTTACACCTTCCCTGCCTGAAAAATCCACTCCGTATGAAAAAGGCATTTCCTTTAGCACAGGACACTCCTCTCGGCATGCAACTCACTCCGGGTGATGTGGAGAAGTCATTTGTATGCAAAAAGAGGGGAATATATTCTGCCAGCGGGTAGTGGCCTCCCTCTGGTCATTAGTGTGTGAGACCACACTGGTGTGACCAGCGACCCCACACCTGCCATCCTACAGCCAGCTGCAGTGTCTCAGCTGAAGCAAAAAGGAGTAAGAGAAGAAAGGTTCAATGTTAGGACATAAGAATTTACAGCTGTTCCTGAAAGCTTGTGTTCTTGTGTGCAAATACTTTTCTTTGCCTGTCAACGGAGCACAGTACATGCTGAAGGAAATTCTCTATCAACAAACAGATCTTCAAATTACATTATGCAAACAAGTTCTCACGGTAAGGACATCTTTCACTTGTTTGAATTTCTAAAATGTTCCTACAGATACCTGTGTGCAAACCAATAACAAACATTAAAAATAAATCAGTGATTATTCTCACAAACTCAGGATATATGACTCTAGGGTGGGGAATACACCCCCCCTGTGCTGTGTAGCCCAACGTGAAGGACATTCACCCCAGTAATTCAGATACCTTTAATCAGTGACTTTGGACACTGTTCAGAGGAGACACTTGGGGACCACACTCATTACAGGTCTCAGGTGGCTGATGTGCACACACAAGCTTTTCCCTGTTTTCAGCATCTCACGCAGCGCACAAACATCCAGCCAGGACTCAAACCACCCAGAGACTTTTTCACAAGGAACAAAGTACACTGGGTTATGCTGCAGGGTGCCAGAACATTAGCAGATTTACAGACTGATCTGCCATAATCAAATTGCCTTATTTTAGAAGTGTCCCAGATTTGCAGCACCATCCAGCCAGCACCAATCTCAGCCCTCGCGATGCCAGGAATGCAGACACATTTAGCGAGGGAAGGACTTGGCATCTCACTCACCACTTTAGGTTTGAAAGGTGGCTGAATCTCTCTGTTTTCCAGTTTTTCCCAGTCAATTCTCCTGAAGAAAGCATGTTCCCTGATGTCTCTTTCACCTTCAAGGCCACAGCCGAGGCGTTTCGCGGGATGTTTAGTCATTAGCTGTCAGGAAGAAAACACCAAATGGTTAAACGTAAAGCTGGAATGAAAGCGAGAGCAAGTTTCCCCAGGCTGCGATGCTCTTGCTCCTCTCCTGAAGATGCAAGTTGCCAATAAAACTGTTTTGAAAAGCTAAAATTCATTTTTTGAAGATCAGGTTTTTTTGTTCAATTACTGGAGACAGTACATCAGTAGCAAATTTAAGTGATGCACTTGAGAACTTCTTCCCACTGGGCAGAGGTTGCTGCTGGGGGCAGCAGTGGTGCCCGGGGCATGCTGCCATTGTATTAGTTCACAACTCACTCCTGAATTTCACCTTTGGTCTTTCAGTTCAGCCTTATAAATCTCCAGAACAGCTTCTGCCCTACCTTAACAATCAATTAAACTTAATAAATTCCAATATACTAAAGCTGTATGAAGTACAACCCCCCTCTGTCATTTTTCTGGGCTTGTTCGAGACATCTCATTACAGAGCCTACAATTTCTTGGCACCCAGCTGACAATATCTAATCTGCGTTTCCTCCCTTGCATCCTTAATGACATCTTGGTCAATACTATACCCAGCTGCACAGATTAAGCAGACTTGGGAAAAAAAAAAAACACAAACCCACCAGCATTGCATGCTTGGAAACAGGAATATGCCTCTGAATTAACAAGCTCTTCAGAATCTTTTCAATTGGTATGTACATACGAGCAAAGTAGCCTTCAACTCTCATCTCCAGTATAGTGGGGACTTCAAGCTCTTTTACAAATTATGTATGATTAATATACTGCTGGGAGTAATACCTCAACACATCTTTTTAAAACCTCAGCTGTACTGCTTTAGTCTCCCTCCAAATGTTGAGTTGATCACATTCCAATTTTGAACCTAAAATAAACGCGCCTCTAAGCAGACTTTGGGAAGCTGGCAGTGATGGGGTAGGAATCACACCCTGCAACTCTCCCATTTTTGTTACCTTTTCTAATCCCCTTGCTTTAACAGTAGGTGATATAAGAAATATGAATGATTCTAGCAGTTCTAATTCTGTTCTGAGGTTTCTGCATTTACCAAACCCAGCAAACCCCAGTTCAGTGGAATAGATGTCGAGCAGACGACTCAATTTCAAGAGCACGTTGGCCTTGCCCGATGGTGCCGCTGAGCTACTGCTGACTGCAGGGCTCAGAAGCCTTCTCATACTGACTGCCTCGCTCAGGCATCATGCTCACTGAAATCTGGGATTAATTTGTTAGTTTAATAGAGATGATGAACATGTTATTATCACAGAGACTCAACCTTAAACCTCGTAGTGCAAGGCAATTTTAGCTTTCTGACCTCCATTTGCATTAGCACCTTCCAGAACGGCAGCAAGCAGGAGAGCTGAAAACATGGTAATTAGATCAAGTTCAAACTGTGCTGTTTGAATATATGATTTTCATGACAAGGCATCAATCTGCATGTACTTTACAAAATGGTATCAAGTTCTGTTTTTGTTGGCCAGCATATCTGCACCGGGACAGGCTTCAAAATCCGAGTGGTCTTTCCTTCTACCTTGTTGTTCTAAACAGCTTTTCTTTTTCTTGATGATTTTTCCTTAAGGGATTAATATCTGGCTCATGTACAAGACCTCATAAATGGTTGGAAAGGAAAGGAAGAAAGTAAATACCAAATTAACTGACACTAAGTGCAGTGATATTTTATCAGTGTAAGTAAGTAATACATCAAATAAAGCTTTCTAGATGGTGGTCTATAAAGACTATAGACTTTATAGACAGTACTCTAGGGAATCATGCAGAGTCAAAGGAGAGTCAAATGAATTCTGGTTTCCTGAGCTAATCCCCTGAAGTCAAGCCTATTCTTTTCCTCAAAAAAAATTTAATTAAATTAACTTGGAATCCAAGATAAATTTTAGGCCACACAGGTTACCACTGGGTCAGGATTTCCCCACAGGTTCCTTGCATTTACATGAAGGATTTCACATAAGCTCATCTCTACCTACATTTAAAACTGATTTGTATTACCTCTTTTGCCCTGCTGCTGCCACGGGGCTCACCGGGCCGGGGGCTGCCTGCGGCTCCGGGGACCCATCCCAGCGGAGAAACCCCCTCACCCCGCACAGCCGGGGCTGAGGCCAGGGGGCTGGGGGCGTTTCACACCATCCTCCTGCTTATAAATTCTGCTTTGGATTTGGCAGCTACTGATTGTGACATTTGTTCTTACCATAAAAGAAGCGGGCAGAGCGGGAAGAGCTGAACACTTACCAGCAGCACCAGGCCCCGGGATGGGACAGCTTAGCAGGGCCTGACAAGTTGCACTTCAAAATACTACAGTGCCATATCAAAGCCAGACAAATTTAGTTATTCACAAGGACTGCCAAAAAGGAACCTAATGATAAAGAAGCATCTATCTCACCCCCTTGCAGATGGAGACGGCCTCTTTGGACAGGGATTTTGGATAGGAAACATTATGCTCCATTATGGACTGGAAAAGTTCATCTTCATCTTCGCCATCAAACGGAGGCTGTTGAAAATAAATCACAGGTAAATTACTTACTGGGTTTTGGGTTTTTTTAAAAATTCTCCACTTTTTATGAAATGGCATGACAACACTATGGCCCTGATAGGTCAGAAAAGGAGCATCCAGCCCAGCAACCTGTTTCCAGTCAGTCAGAGATGCCTGAAGAGATGGTACACAGCAGTGGTCCTTGCCCTGGAATATACACCAAACCCCCAGCCATCTGCAGCTTGGGATCTTCTAACCCAGAAGTTTAGTCTTTATCGCTCAGACAGAAATCGAGGGAAAAAGTTCCCTTCTGCTCCCACCATGGCAGCCAGGTTAATGAAAAGTGTGCAGGACGATCATCTTTAATTAGTTTTTAAAGCTGCTGTGCACCAGACAGCCAAAATACTTCAAAGGGTGAAGTTTGGAGACTATAATTTTCAATTACCTTGTGTTAAGGTATGTCCATTCCTCATGCAATTCCAGTTAAACTATTTTATAAGACATGGCTGTGGACTCTGCTTCTGTGTAGGGCAGACTGTACCACAACCAAGGGCTGCTTTTTATTTTTAAATACAGGTGAAGAGGAAAGTGCCCGGGGGTGCGTCCCTGGGACACGAGCACTGTGCAAGACTTGGCTAATGGTACACCTCATTTTCTCTAAAGCATTCAGACGCCTAATATTTGCAATGCAGACTGTAAATGCTAACAAATGCAATTGCTACACTTCAAAAACTTTTAAAATGTCGACTGGAATTGAGTAGAGAAACTATTAAGGGCATTTGTTAAAAACGTATGTTTTAAGCTTAGGAAATGCATGGCTTCAGTAACACTCTTTGAAAGCCAATTGCAGAAATCTTTTCCAACTCAGGACTAATAGAATTCCTTAAAGTTGGTAGTTATCTACCATTTACTGCAGCACAGTGTTGCTTTTCCACTTGAGTGACTCAGAGAGAGCAGCGTCTCATTAACTGTGCAGAATAAGGGGTTTGTAACTGAGCATATTTCAAGGGGTGAGACCCACACTTTACCCTTAGGACATACAGCACAAAAACTGTATTCTTGTGACTTAACTGCCATGCAGAGCACACACACACTCTTATTATGTTTCCCTGTGGTTTCAAACTGCTAAATGGCATTTCTTCCATTTGACATGCATTTCCCCGCTCAAGTGTCTCCCATTCAATTTTGAAGATGGCTATTTATAACATTATTACAGTACAAAGAAGCATATTCAAAGGCAGTGCTTGATTATGTGGGTGCAATATAAAGAGCTTGAAGCCTAAATACATTCTCAGTGGAGAGTACAAGGAGATAATAACAGTAAGAAAGGCCCCAGCCTTGTCCCCTAAGGGTCTAACAGCCTGGAAAGAGAGGAGGGCTGGGGAGGCAGGAGGAGGTCACGGCAGCAGGGAGGGCAGCTCTTACCTGGCCAGCCAACATCTCATAGAGCAGCACTCCGTACGCCCACCAGTCCACAGACTTCCCATAGGGCTGGTAAGCAATAATCTGTGTAATCACAAAAAAAAAACCAACAACTCAACAAAAAAAACCCAAACAAAAACCCCTATGTTAACTAACAGCCAGTACTGTGACTGGTTAGATAAATAGTGACATACACAGATGAACATATTTCCTTGAAAAAGCCCAGAAAGCAAGTCCTGCAATCCTTCCTCCAGCTGATCTCTGGTTTCAGTGGGAGTTGGATTGTTTTGCAAATGTTAGTCTAAACCCAGCCCTGTCTTTTGGTACTCCAATATCTGGGGAAATGTGGCACTTCGGAGACCCTGGGAGGTGCATTTGAAGGCAAACAAGGAAGTACAGCAGCACAGTGTAGGAGACAAGGCAAAAATGTTATTCATCCATTTATGTCAAAGCTTGAAATCATGACTCACTTAACTTACAGATTATCAATAATTAAGTCTTTCTTTTCAATATTTATATTTTTGTTCTGCTGTAAAACGAATCAAATTTAAGAAAAGAGCAAAACTCTGAAACTCTGAAGAGCTCAGTTACATTTTCCCAAGTTGCACAATTAAGATACTCTTGGTCTGAAGCTAGACACCAGCTACACCAAAAGAAGGGGGTTTCTGCTGCTGAGCCTAATGGAAATGTCAAGTATTTTGCATCCTCTGGGTTCATATCTGACTCACAAAGAGACACAAATTGAGTTCTGACATGGGAAAGGCTGCAAGTGCCACCAGCACACAGGTCCCCTCCTGCGTCATTTTTTTTTAATTGAGGCCTCTTCAGATATCAGTGTTAATTTATTTAAGAGATGCGTTTGGGCAGGCTACAGAGGAATTTTGAGGTCCAGCTGTTCTTTCAGGTCTTCTAAACAACCGTGAAGGGATACTGTGACTGGTGAAGGGATGCAGGACATCCCAGTGCCACCGCTCCACTGGGACAAGCAGGGAACTGAGGCACGCACCACTCCAGATGGGCTTGCATGTATTTTCCTGTTTGCATGTGATTTTATTCTTTGTGAAACAAACTGCTAAGACAAGTACACATCACATAGTCCAGATTTTTTAGTCGTCTGAAAGAGAAGTTGAACCGGCAAGTTTTGTAGTTTCTCAGGAAAATACTGAGTCACCAGTTCAATAAAGCAGGACTGCCTGGCTGCTAAATAAAATGAGGGTCTCTCTGTGAACATACATTCTTTGCCGGGATAACAGCAGTACATGACTTAAAAATTACTGCAATGTTTCTGAGCAAAGGATTTCAAAATCAGTCGCACTTTGAAATATATTACACAACCAGAGGTAATACCAAGATTCTTAGCTAGAAGGTCCTACACAAAGGCAATCTTTATTAGTTGTCTTTCAGCAGTAATATGGGCTTTAAAATATATATTTGGGACATTCATTTCGTATTATGGTGGTTGACATACTTGGTTACTCTCCCTTTAATTTCTATCAGTAGTAAGCTCCCAGAGGTCTGCTGGAATCAACGTTGCCTCTTGAAAGACTGAACACTTTGAAAATTTTATAAAAAAATAAATATTGGCCTTCACACACAGAAAATGACAAAACATTTCATCCTCAACCCTTCTCCAACAATCTCTCCTTGACTTATGGAAAAGAGTATTTTATCAGAAAAAAAAAAAGGGATATATTTCAGAAGGTCATTAATTTAAAAAGGCAGAACATTTTGTACAATAAGTGCACTTCATGTAAGTGGTTTTGGTAGGAACAGCTTATTTCAATCAGCAAATGAGAAAAACAGGGGTCCATAGGAGTTAGAAAGAGAGTTCAATGGGAGTGCTGAAGAGAGGAAATCTTTTAACTATGGTACTGCAATGTCATAACGTGACAGATGTAAGAAAGCACAGACTCAGTGACGCTGTCTGTTTATCCAGCAAGAGGTGAGTCGAGATTGAGTTGTTCTTTAAATAGCATTCTCATCAGCAAATCTAATCTGTCCCAATTAAATCTGCCTTTGTGAGAAAATATCAAGCAGAATCATCAAGAGAGACAGAATTAACATGAAAGAATCTCTTACGTTTAACCTAACACGTGGTCAGAGTCACTAAAATTTTTGTCCCATTTGACGCCATGTGCCAACATCAGCAGAAGCATTTGAGGAACAGAGGGGTGCCCCCTCCGAGTGGCCACACACCTCCCTTGCCCGAACCAGTGGCACGATGAGAGTGGGATTTGAGAGCTACATACGGACATCAAGTTCCACTAGGGCTGGAAAGGTCCCACTGGACCACTTTTGCAAATGCGATGGAAACACTTTTTTCATTGAACCCATCGCACTGTAGGAAAAGGTGCCGTCAGTGTCTCCTGCTGTACACAGGAAGCTTTTTCCTTTAATCCTAATTAAACACAACCAATTTGAATCACCAGCTTAACTGGTAAGGATATGATACAAGTGAAACACAGAAAGGCAATCTGCCACTTTCGTTCACCAACTTGTGTGTCACGCACAGAACCCGGCGGTTACACTCATAATATTGGGAGATATTCAAAGCATTAATTGGAAAATGTAAATGAGAGGAAAGAATGCTCACTTCAAGGAAGGAATTACATGTGGGAGGAAGCAGATGAGTTTTCAATATACAGTCAAACAGGCATTGGTACATAGTCAGCAAGTTCTAAATGTCATATTTTCAGTAGTTCCCTCCTCCTCATGCAGAAATCATCATGTATTACCTACCAGCTGCTGCACTCAAAGCCATCACTGGCTGCCTTGTAGCAGCTGCCAAAATAATTCTTCTATCTGCATGTACAAATTTTGATATCTTTTAGAACAAATAGGGGTATATTAACACGATCTGTCTCACTGCAGTGTGCAGAGCAGACCCACAGAGCAGTGAGGGAGTTCATGTGCCTGGAAATGAAGAAGACCTGTACCCTCCTCCAGCTCTGATCTCTGCTTTCTACTGGCCAGGGGATAATGGAAAGGTGATAGGACCCTTCCCTTTCTTCTCCATTATTAATTTAAATTCTTGCTTTTTTCGTCTCCTTTTGCATTTCAAATGTTCCATTTTCCCTCCCTATTACTATATTTTAAGAGCTCTGCCTTTTCAGGTTCCGTGGATTTGAGAGCTCAGGAGGAATTTCTCTCATTAAGCCAAATTGGCAGAGGAATGTTGATTGCATTTTTTTCTTTTTGTTCCATTTTGCCTCCAAGGAAGGCTCAGTTAAGAGCAGGACACAGAGATTAATACCAGCAATTTGTAGGAATGTTTAGATCGTTGCAGCTTGCAGCTGGTAGCCAGTTGGGATGAAAAGATTATATCCCAGAGGCAAGAGAAAGTCTTTTGTGAACATATCTTATGTCTACTGGAAAAGTTAAAACTCAGTTATTAAAAGAAATAAATATTACTAGTGCAATAAACAGTCAAATGTACACTTTCCAAACCTTTATAACACCTATCAACCTTCCATAATCCCAAATGCAAGGTTAGAATTTAGGGTTTTGATGCTATTTGATGGAGAAGAAGGGGAACAGAGTTTCTAATTTAAATTCTTCTGCAATTTAAAGTCAGGGCTCTGGGTGCTGCAGGGCTGCTGACGGTGTGGGCCAGCCCTCTGCCGCGGGCTCTGCTGGAGAATCCCACCCACTAATCCTTGGCACATCCATCTCCTTCTGTCTCTCTTGACTGGTCAAGGAGACACAAAGTATTAATTGATTTCATGGCTATTTTACCACTTGGACCATAAATATTTAAGTTCAGTGCATCAATAAATATTCTTTACCAGATAACCACTTTCTGCCTGACAGAATTTGTCAAACCTGAGATTCTGCCAGTTTAACCTCTGCACATTTCTCAAATTGCAGAGAATACGAAAATGAATAATAATCCCAGCGTGTTATACACCTAAGTAATAACAAATGCTAACTTTCCCAATCATTAAAAAAGGAAAGCATTATTTTACAGTACACCGAAGTGTGCAAATTCACTCTGTGGAATCCAGCACCACATTCCCCTGCTTTTCTGTCCGGAGATTGTACGCGTAAGCCAGCTGAGATGTCCCTGTACGGTTCCTCCAGCCGGGTTATCTCTGAAGCAGGTCTGTGGGTAGCTCCTGTAGAGGCAGCACGAGCTCCTTCCGACCCCACTATCCTCACAACATTATTCCCCAAATACTGAGGAAAAGAGCTCACAACATTATTCCCCAAATACTGAGGAAAAAAAAACTCTCTATGCTTGAGTGCAACACACTCACAGGACTAATCTATGCTAGATACCTTCAACAGTTTATTTAGATTTAGCTCATTTCTCTCCACCCATCAGGGAATGGTACTGTGCAAATGCATCCTCATTAAAATCTATTATAAATTTATAAATTTGAGCCCATGGAAACATGCTAAAATGTTCCTGCAAGCAAAACATGAACCTTGCTTTGAAGTTCAGCACAGACCTAGTTAGCAATTTGTCAGTCACAATAATGTCTTCAGAAAGAAAGAAAATCAGTCGACTAGAAAAAAATACATGTCTGTTTGTGAGACAATAGAAAGACCAATTTCCTTCCAGTTACTGAATGTTTTGGTGAAAGGTTTGTTTCTTTATATGAATTTTCCAAATAAAGTAAAACAAATCATTCCAGAACTGACCCATATTGAGCATTTTGGCACTGACAACATGTTCTTTGGTATTATCTGGCACAAGACTGGTGCCACGGAAAGGACATTTTTTAATTTGTAATATTGGCTTCATTTATGTTTTGACAGGAGAAAATGAAACACTGCTCTGGCTGCTCTGATATCCTGCTGCAAGTAACACCAATTTGTGAAAAAACAAGGTTTTATAACACACAGTATTTCACTCTGAAAGCATGAATTAGCAACGGGAAACAAACAAACAATTTTTCATTCCAGTTTCACAGAGATGCCAAAATTCACCTTAGACACTAATTTACTTGCCCGTGTATGAATCTCCCATATTCCAACTAACATTCAATTACAGCCAGGAACACTGCAGCCAGAGCTGCCTCTCGCCCAGCTCCTGGTGAAGCACCAAGTCTCCTGGAAGGGGACACAGCCTCTTGCACTGAATTCCCAGCCAAACAAATCAAGACTCTTGAAAGCTCGGTAGGCACAAATACCAGATTTTAATATTCATATATTTGAATCATTTCCAAATCACCACGTGTGCTTGTTTTTAATGTTTTATACCTAAGCTATTGAAATACAAATCATATCCAGACTGAAGATCTCGACTCTCGCTTGTATTTATCACAGTGCTTTAAAGCAGAACTGTGTTTCTCCTGAGCACATCTTCCTTTTAGAGACACCGCTGTCGGGTTTGCCTTTGAGTGTGATTTTCAGTGGCTTGAATGCAGCCCAGCTATTGCCAAGTCACTGAAAACTCAAGACAAACTATGGATTTATGAGCTCTCTAGGACTTCATAATGTTATTATTGTATGTATAATAACAATTGCTGTTATACATATACTAAGATTTCCAGGCTACAATTTAAAATCACATGATGGTGATGCAGCTTTTTTAGTTTTTTGCCAGTATGAACAAAATCTGAAGCACTGATCTCATAACAAGTGAGGTTTTCAATCAACTAGATATTTTTAAAAATAGTGAAGTCTTACTGATAATGTTGTATTAATTCACAAAGTGATTCAATATACCTGCAGAAGTATAGATGGTACTGTCCACAGAGTATCCGGAGTTACAGCTGTCAAAACTTGGTGGTGTAAAATGTGCATAGGGACAATTTTCATTTGAGAGACTAGAAGGTTCTTGAAATGGTAAATATTTACCTCTGGTGCAATGTAGTCTGGAGTGCCACAGAAGGTCCTGGTTGTTACTCCATCTAACATGTGTTCTTTGCACATTCCAAAATCAGCAATTTTAATGTGTCCTTCTGAATCCAACATCACATTATCTAATTTCAGATCTCTGTGAAGAATCACAGTAATTTAATGTTAATGTTTAGGATCATCTAGGGCCAATTTCTCTACTTCTGAGTCTAGGTGGGGAGGATGTGTAGCTATCTGGGGGTCAGAGGGGACATGTAGGGCAGTCCGGAGAAAGTATGACCATGAGCCCTGAAATTGGACAATTAATGAAGGGACAGATGCATATGGCCATGAACACCCTCACACCGAGACTTCTGAATGTGTAAAACAATGAAGCATCACACTGGAATGCAGAAGGTTATATTTCACATTTTCAAGTTGAGTTAAGCAGAGCACAGACGTCAGAAGAGCTCAGGTGAAGCAGTGGCTTTGATTTACAGTCACCAACACAACAAAATGAACACTACAGTGATTGCTTTTTATAAAATGTCTTAAAAATGCACTTAAACATTAAAGAAATGGACCCTTTCGGGATTTTAAAACTCAGAAATTACTTATTTCAGATTATACTCACCTATAAATAATTCCTCTGTTATGGAGAAAGAATAACCCAACTGAGATCTCGGCAGCATAGAACCTGTATGAAAAAAAATCCAACATATTTCTTATTGCTTCATGATTTTCTTCTGATAAACTATTTTGGAAATGCATCCTGGCAACAAATAATAGTGGAATAGCCTATAAAGTATATAATATATAGCGTGCATATAGATATTACAGTATAAAAATATATATTACAGGCAGATGACATGACAGATACCTTACTTCAATTTGACTTTAACAGATATTTTGAGTATTTCATGGTAAAATAACCCAGAGTTTAAAAAAAAAAGAAAATGTCTCCCTAGACCACAAAAAAATGGTGCAGCTGGAGCATAGCATTTTACTGTGCTGGTCTGACTCCGTCTGCAAAGGTCATTATCTCTAATCACATATCAATGTCGAATTCAGGAGGCAGCTCAATTTACATTGCAATTCATATGGCACAAAATAATTTGCAGAAATAGTATTGCTTTATACAGGCTGTTAATGGATTAATTACATAAAGCTAATTCAAATGATTACCATATAAAATATAATTGCTGAGTGTAGTTAAAGGATACATAATATTGATGGATGTTTGAAGCCAGTTGCTGTGGAGCTGTGCAAATTATATGCAAGAGAATTATTTAAAGATAAGATTAATTTTAAGGCTGGCATAAGGGAAAGGAAAGCTTTAGCTCTGAAGCACTTGACGAGAGGTGTTTGTGAACACGTGTGCCTGAAGATGCTCCACAGGCGTAAGCTGTCATGAAGCACCAGAGTTTTCAAGGAGTGTTGGCAAGATAGATTAGCTGGGAGTCAAGGATGATGTGACACCATCTAGTTTTTATTCAGCACGTTGTTGAAATTTTGTTCTATATCTCAAATACCTATATTTAGCAGTCTTCCCATTTCAACAAGCCCTGATGACTTAAATCGAAACAAGAAATTATTTTAGCTGAATTCTTAAACCAGTTGGTCACACTTGATTTTAAAGTTTTACTGGTAAACGATTTAGGAAACACTAATAAATGATGATGAGATGTTATAAGCATGACTAAAACGGTGCTGATGGATCTATTCACATTTGGATATGCTACAGATCATTATCAGTTGCTCACTGACATGCCAGATGTACATTACCTAAAAGGGATCATGTATGTAAACAACTTCTAATCATTTATTAAATCCTCGTAAATAAAACTTATATAAAAAGTAGGATCACAGAAATTCTTATAAGCTGTACTTTGAACTTATCTTGTACAAACTATAATTTATATTGCAATGCTGAGCCTATTTGTATTGTCTTTCCCTATAGCATTAATTCAGACTGAAATGTTCTGCTCACATTTTTATATTTGCTTTTAAAAACAACACCAGAATACCAAGTAACATCCTTAATTTCCTGTTGCCTTGTTTAAATTCTTGTCACTTTTGAGGTAGGCATTGCATGCCTTTGTTCCTGCTGTACATTTGAATAAAAAGGCACAGCTACCTTTGGGCTACGTGTGCAAACAATATTTTCAAAACAAACTTCAGCTTTTGGCCCTAAGAAACACAATCAAAAGAGGCCAGTCTAGACTTCAGACTGAACCTTGGAAGATGCTACTAGATAATGTGATAAAGAAAACTAATCCTCTTACAGTGTAAAATTAAGATGATGACATGATTTAAATATATAAATTTGAAAACTCACACTGCTTGTGGCTCCTTAAATTTTCCTACTTGCTGAATGTGATACATGAGATCACCACCATTCACATACTCCATAACAAAATACAGACGGTCCTAGGATAAAGTATTAAAGACGCGCATAAATACATTAGAGAAAATATTAGATATGCATTGATCAGAAAAAAAGTCACTAATGTGTCATTATAAAGCTTTTAAGATTATTAGGACTGGTTGTACATTCTGGCAAAATTGATAGATCAGGAAATGGAAGTGGAATGTTTTGTAAAAGTTATTTTGGAAAGAATTATTATCCTGAAGTATTTGTAGAAAAGTTCTTATCCAATATTCTGATGGGAAAGAGACTTATTACTAAGATGCTCTAGTTCAATCTCTTTCTTTCAGCATTGATTGCAAAACAAGTCTCCAATTGTCCAGTAACTAAGATTTCCGAACACCAACATACATTTAAAAGCTGTGATTTCCAAAGCTGGGTCAAACAGACAAGCCACGGGCAAAATGTTTAATTGGCCAGATCAGATTTATGAAATTTAGATTTTTGTACAAGTTGTCTTATTGTAAAATCCATGGCAACAGAAGCCTGCAGCTAAAGGCACCAGCAAAACCAATAAATTTTTTTCTTCTTCTTAATATACTATTTCTCATTTTTGTAGCTAATATTAATCCTCAAGAACATTTCATAGCAGCAAGTGCAAACCACTTAACTCTTAGGAAAACATCAAGTAGATTAGGCAAAGGTGCTAATGATTTATCTAGGCCTTATGTAACTCCACTGCTCTTGTAAATGGTAAAACAAAAACATAATTATACTGTAAATACTAAAACCCCCAAATTTTTCCCTCCATTCCCCTTAGCCAGAAAACACTAGACATTTGTAGTTTTAAGATGTTACATTTAAAATGTATTTGCTCAAAAGAAAGATAAGATTAAACAAAGTGTTTTTTAATTTACTGATGACACTAAGCTTTTTGCTTACTAATGAATTTATATAAAGATAAAGAATTAGAGGGAGATAGAAGTCTGTTTCTCATGGGGACCTCCCATATCTCATTACAGCAATCTTCATATTATAAGTAGAGGCAGGAAAAATATTTTAGAAAGCAAGAATTACCAAGAGCAATAGTTCCTAGATTCATGTTTTAGTGTGATTAATTATGTCTGCAAATCTCTTGCATTCAGACCATTTTCTGCTCAGAGATTTGTAGACATTAGAGAGAGTCAGAAAGTGCCTCTAACACCACAGACAATTACATCATGAAACCCAGCCCTGGGGCACTTGTTCAAGGCCCTTGGCGTAAGGCAGCTACAAGAGGCAAGAGCAGCCTTGGTTTCTTGTGAATAAAGACCTTCACCGAGTTGGGAGCTTTCGGAGCTGGTTCACCAGTGTCAGGGTGTATAGCTCTTGTGTATACCATTTTCTATGTGTAGAAGCTACGATAAATAGTTTAGATACTAATAAATGTTATTGAGCTGATAAAATCCATGATCATGTAGTATGGAAAACATCAGGGTGGCAAGAAAGACAGAGCTCACGTACGACTGTTTGGAAACACGAGTGAAGCTGTGTCAGGAACGGTGGTTTATCTTGCAATGCCAGGACTCGTTTTTCAACCATTGTGCATTCAACATCATCATCCTGAATCACCACATCTTTTTTCAGTATTTTGATTGCATAGAGCTCCTCTGTCCCCTTCCTGTCTGCCAGCATCACCTGCACAAAGAGAAACAACTGGGTGAAAACCTTCCTACCTGCCAAGGAGGGGAGGTGACTCATACGCCCAAAGATTTGTATAGATGGCAATCCAGCTATTCCTTTTATTGGTATAGATTAACCTGATCAAAACTCCAAAAATATCCTCATTACTCACCCGCTGCAATGAGCTGCACCAGTCATTTCAGACAAACCATGTGCCAAAACCCTCTGGTTAATCACAGGCACGTTGCCAAAGGGCTGATAAAATGTTAAGTCCTGGGGGACTTCTTCAGTGAGGGGCACTTTATCATATAAATGGTTGTTCAAACAGACAGAAAAATAGCAGTCCTTTCTTTTGACTAACAGATTTCAAAAATATATACACTATTCCTGCTTTTTCCCCAATATTCAGCCTTACCAATGTTGGTAACTTCCAGAACTGGCAGAGTGACCTAGGTAGTAAAGCCAGAAAAGTAAACTTAATTTCCTTGAAACTGCCAATAAATGAGGATCTAAAAGTCAGCAACTGTTTCTTGCCTCCTGTCCAACAATCTGAGGGGTTTTTTTTATTTTTATTTTTTTGAGAAAACTGCCAATTATGACAGAAGGACAGAAGTCCTCAGGGAATCACCCTACTCCATGGTAAGAAATCCTCCCTCAAAAATGCACACCCTTTTGACTCCGGATTTTGCTTCTTACAGAATTATTCATTCATTCATTCTTCCTCAAGGAAAAAAGAAAAAAAGAATGCATGTGGAATAGTTATCAGGAATTCCTACCTTCCCGAAGCTCCCCTTTCCAAGAACCATGAGAAAGTTGAAATCTGTCAGCTTCACCCTGTCAAGGTTGTTGGACGGCACACTCGAGTTCTTGTCTTCTGTTGGAGTAATGACTTTGTTACCAGCTGGCCCAAGTTTGGCTTTCTGAAGAACATACACACACATACACACACAAAAACAGGAAAGTAAGAAGAGTAGCCCCTTTTCTTGGCAGAATGGATCGCTGGGTGAAGGTTAGGATTGGAGATGACCGTATTTGAGGCAGCATACCCAGGAGAAAGACTGCATAACAAAATTTGCACAGACACAACTTTGAAGACTCATTCCAACAATAGTTTTGATGTTATTGGGTGAATTGAAGTAGAAAACTCTGTTCACGTATAACCAGATAAAAGCAGATACACTTATCTGGTTAGAAGAGCAAAACCAAAGCAAAAACCAAAGTCAAAGGAAAAATAATCAGTTATTTTCATGCCAAAAAACAGGCTAATTTGATGGTTTTGTTTTGAAATACAAAAAATGCTTTTCAAAAATATCATGCTACAATCTACATTGGGTATTTTAGGGTACAAACAGTCTCTTCAGTACATTCTCTTTTCACATGTAGTTCTTAAAGTCACTGCATAGCAAGAGTTAGGGAATCTTTGACATGCATTAAGAAAAATAACCTACATTAAACACAAAACACAGCACATGAGAACTAATGCAGATGAACATGGCCACTTTCAAACTAGCAATACAATCAACTTTAATTTTCAATCAAGGGCTGATCTGGAAAAAGGAGGAAGGGAAATATTACATACAAAGGTTCTGCCTTGGCCAGACACTCTGGTTTGCAGAAGGTTGCAACAATCTCAGTATTGCAAATGAGACACCATGTAATTGCTCAAGTAAGTTGCATTTCAAATCTCAAAGTTAATAGGAGAGAAAAAAGTAAGACTCACCGAAAGATAATGCAGACTACAACATAATATCCCTCTTTTTTCTCAAAATATTCCCATATACCAGCAGAAGCAAAGCCAAGAAAGTTTAATAATACTTTAGGATGTAAGTGCTTTCCCCCATCTATCTAGTGTGTTGGTTTGGTAAATAAGCTCTAATATGGCTAATTTACTTTGCGCCGGTGACATACGCTTGACATTTAAGGATAACTGCTTTTCTCACAGCACCACAAAGGACAGCATTTACATATTATCACTGTTTTACAGAAAAAAAAATCAGAGAAATTAAAGTTTATTCAAAGTCACATAATGAATCACCTTGAAAGCCTGGCCTGGCATATACCTTTGGCAGCCTCACTGGGAACTGGAAAATACAAACTTTCTCCTTCCCAGATAAATTTAAAACCATAAGACTGAAAGGGAAGCCTTGATTCATAGACTCTAGCCCCAAAGTACTGCACGCAGTAATGGCAAATAAACCTCTGATAAAATAACCATGTCACTTGAAAAGCACATTCAGATTGGGTGACTTTTCCTGCAACTTTGCCAATGCAGGAAGTCTTACACCCCGCCACAGGGGCATGAATTTTGGCAGTTTTGATCTCTCTCTCTTTTTTAATTGTAATATAGCTTAAAATGTGGCATTTCTTCTACCACTATTATTACTTGCTTGCAAGGAAGCAGCACTCGGAGATGCTGATCACTGTGTGCAGTGCAAACGTTTAGGAAGAGCCAGTCCTGGGCATCAGCCTGAACCCCTGATCCCGCAAGGGACGGCCCTCGGCAGAGCCGGCTGCGGGGACAAATCCAGTCTGTCACGGAGCTCTGTGTCAGGACAAAGCTCCTTTCAAGGCCACAAAACAGGACTGAGCCATAAGCAAAACAAATGAAAAAAAAAGAAAAATCCTAATATCCTTTATTTGAACAAGATGAAGACATGATTTAAAGGAGCGGCTTTGCCGGCCATGTCTTTGTGGGGCTCTCGCATACAGGATCTCAGATAAAAGATCCTGCATATGAGATAAAAGAAGCAATTTCAATATCTGCCTTTTCACCAAGTAACAGAGATCCAAATCGGGCACTGAATAGAAAACACTGGCTTAATTTCTTATATTTCAAACCCACTGGGTCGGTATTTGGCAGCCTGTCTGAAAAAGATATCATTCAAGGCCACAAATTAAATTGTATTCCACGGCAGTTTGTTTCTCGCAGGGAGAGCTCTCTGTGGCGCTGCAATCCCGGGCTCGGGAGGAGCAGCACTTCTTCCAAAGAGATGGAGCAGCAGATCCATGGCAGGTCGCTGTGCCCTCTGCCGGCTCCGCAGCCGGGAGCACCAACACCCGCCAGGGGAGACTGGCAGGATCTGAAGGCAGCATCTGAAGATAATATCAGAGAACCAAGCCAAGGCCCCTCTGCATCCCCACAAGAAAACGCGTAGATTCAATGAGCCACAGAGACATGCTCCTCTACTTCCGTTTCAATTTTTTTTTTTTTTAATTAGATGCCGCTCTCAATTTGATAATGTATTTTTTTCATATGGTAGATTTCTAAGGAAAGCATCGGGTGCCTCCTGCTGGGTAAGGGGTCTCTCGTGCCATCTGCGTGGGGTCAATGGCTGACGCTGGCAGGATGGGACCGGACCCATCTGCGACCGCCCGCGCCGACGGGAGCCGACAGCCCTGGGCATCGCACTCCTGGCACGGAGCTCTCAGTACATCACAGACACCTGTACGTGCACAGACAGAACCCTCTTGCAAACCGTATGTAGGAAAATGTAGGAATATGGCATCTATGAAGTGCCAGGCTGACCCAATGGAAGTGCACGGACCCAATGGAATGGCCTCATGACCATATCAAATTATCACAACCTTATCAAAGGCCCGTATTTCCCTTCAGCCACTCACCATTTCTTCATGAGCATGCCAAAAGAAGTTTTTCACATTTAGCATGTGAATTGCTTTTACTGCTTTTTGGCTTAAGGTCCTAGTGAAAATATAGTGGGAATTTCAATGCTGGCAAACACGTACTGGGGGGAAAAAAAAAAAAAAAAGGAAACAATAGTAATCGCAAACAAAACATTTCACAGATGATCCATTAAGAGCTTCCAAAAATATTACTGCAACGTGTTTCAATTGTGACTTACCCTGTGGCATATATCATTTTGTCTTCTTAGTACTATTTAAAAAAATTTCCAGAGCTTTTGGAATAAAATTAGGCTATGGGCATGGAAATAAAATTAGATAAACATCATCAAGCCATTACAGATGCTACCTGTGCCACCAAGTTTGTGATGGGACAGTAAGAAATGAACCCTGAAACCCCGACACCGCAGACAGACCTCGTGTTCCCTACAGCTGTCCTGCATCTTGCATAGATCCAACAGCCCAATAAATGTATTTTCTCAGCTGTTTAAATAAACAAACTCAGTTTCTTGAAGAGAAGCAGCTTTTCTTACCGTTGGCTATAGCTAGGAAAAAGGAACAATAAGGAAAACACCTGGACCAGACAGAGAGATGGATCTGAAAGCAGCAAGACCTGACCAGAATCACTGGCTGCTGCCCCAGAGAAAAGCATATTTCAGAAAAAGCAGTTCTAATAGATTTACTTCAAATGTTTCATATTATTTTGGGACCTACTCACCCTTGCAGGTGAGTAGTAATATCTTTGATAAAAACACAATATTGTTACAACGAAGCCAGCTTGCAGCAGACAAACCAGGAAAACCGTATGTTAAAGATAAATTAGTCGTCACTGGCAGCAGAAGAGTTAATCTTAAAAGAAAACAAGACATGCACATCATCTTACTTCCTCTGGCTTGGACACACCTTATCTCGGCCAGTTCTTTTACCCTGAAACCACAGGTGAGACACACTTTATATATTCAGCCCAGATGCCCTTCTTCAAGGAGTGTTACAGAAGCTACAGCGTGTGACACTGGAGAGTCTCCTGGAATTTGGTATGTGCTTTTTGGAAAAGATATCTCAGGTTTTGCAGCAAAAATGTGTTCAATTTATTTTTCATCTAAGTGTAACAATTGGTCTTTTAATTAGGTATGGTGAAAAAAAAAAAAAGTCTTCTCCAAACTCTAATGAGTACTGTGACGTGAAGAAGAAAAATAAGTGATTCAGGGAATCCATTATTGCACTAAATTTTCAACCGCATCGAATGTTCTTGTTAGGTCTTTTCAAAACTTTCTCTCTGATTTTTTACTGGACAAAATAATAAGTCTGCACATTGGCTCTTCTACCCCCCAGTTACTATCTATAGTTCAGAAACTTAAGAATTACAGAGCGAAAGACTCCATCAGTCATTTTTCCCATTAGCCAATAAATAAATAAATAAAATTGGTGAAGAATTAAAAAATTAGCTACACAATTCACATTCTTACCCTCAGTCTCTTTGGGACAATGAGCTATGTTATGTTAGTGCTTTAACACCTTGTATTGCTCACCTTCACCAATTCTCTTCTGCTGCTGTGTGTAACGTTCAGCTCAGCAAGGCTGGCTTTGTTCCCACAGGGGACATGAGCACTGGGCTCCAGAACTGCCCAAATTTGCAGCCACATCCCACCACCCGCCAAGCTCAGCTTCAGAAGGGAGAAACCCACATATTTCCCATGAAAAAATATTCAAGGCCACAAAAGGCCTTGCGACGTGCAGTTCATTAGAGGATGTATTTCTCAGTTGTCAAGGCAACTCGCTCTCAGCAAGTTCACAGATGCCCAGCGGGGAGATACATCGGTAACAAATTTTCAAGAGGAGAAAGTGAAAAATGAAAAAATATTTAACAACAATGCTAAATTCCCATCACATGCGTGGAAGAATATACACATACAGCACGAGCAGCTTCTGTCTGGGAACAGCAGGCTGATGGCCCCGTTTCCTCCGCTACTTATTGACTCCTCTGACACGGGAAGAGAAACCGAGAGCCGTTCCCAGCAGCCGAGCCTCCCGGAGCCTCCCAGCTTCCCATTCCACACCAGCATCCTCTGCCCACCCAGCACCGACTGCTGCGCCCACGCAGTCCCATTCAGCTGTAAATCACAACTGAACATCATGACAACAGAGAGCTGCACTTGTGTCAGACTGCTGCAAAAAATCACAATTTTGATAGCATGAGGGTCAGCCGTCTAAGGACTGCCTGAGCAGGCTTCACCTTGGGTCCCAACACTTCCTTGAGCTCCATGGAGCAGGAACGTCCTCTTGCCAAGACCCAATCCCTCTGTGAAACTCTAACAAAATCCCTGCTTCTGACACTGGCACAAGTTCTCACCAGTTCTCTGCTGGATCCCAACACGCTCATCAAATGTCACCGAGTGATGGAACAACCCATCTCATGCTAGTCACCTTGTTCCCAATGTTTCTGTTCCTAATTCTTAAATGACCCCAGAGCAGAGCTGCAGGTAACACTGCATATCACTTAAAGAAAAGGCAACAGGGGTGGTGGGAAGTGAGGAAAGAAAAGTCTTAATAATAACATTCTCATTTCACTATTAGAGCCCAGGGGGCTTTGGCTGCAAATGTGTAATTAACGCTCAGTGATGTCTGTCGCCACCTGGACTCTACACAAGAGGCATCAGAGCAGCTCAGGTCTCAGACAAACCACAGAAGTCACCGACAGAGCTGGTAAAACTCTTACCAAGGGCGTGAAAAGAGGAAACTGAAATAGTTTAGCTGAGTCTCAAGGAAAGACAAAAGCCCAATTCAGGTTTCCAGTCATGAAAGCTCAGTGGGGATTTTGATCAAGAGGTTGAGCCATTAGCAAGCCTTTAATAAAGTAAATAAATCCACTGAATTCCAAGTCAAAATCTGGAGGAAAACACCTCCCATTCACCGAAACGTTCTCCATCATTGTGGCAGCTTGTTTCTTACATTATTGCATTTCCAATTCCATGTAATTATAGATGCTATGAAGGACTATCAATTTCCTAGTTTAAACAACTTAATTATCAGGATGCTGAGAATTTGAAATGAGACGAGTCCATTTCTAAGCCCCAGCAAAGACCTAATACTTCACCAGACTGAGGTTTAAGCTTAACACCATACCCTAACGCAGGCTTGTAATTCATTAGTGCGAGTTCTGTAGCCATGGCAACAAGGCAGGAGAGAGGGAGCTGGGGCCTGCGCTGGGGACGGGCGAGCAGCCGGAGAGGGGACCCGGAGAGGGCCCTGTCCTTGCTCTTGCAAGTCAGGGGAGGGAAGGCACCTCCTTGGGCATTTCACCCCTATCTGGGGAGATGCTTTAGCATGAAATTTCCTGTGAAACACAACAAAAGACACAGTCCCTGGCTCTTGTGCTTCTTTCCTTGGCTTATCAAATGCTGATGAAGAAACCAACGCAGGGTGTTTCCCAACCTTCCCGCACAGTCTCACCGATTCTTATTGTTCCTTTCAAGAACAAATAACTAATGAACTAAATTACAGAGGTGTATTGCACTAGTGAATGTAAACACACATATTTATCTGTCTAGAAAGGAGTTTGCTTGGATGGGACTGCAGCAGAACGGAAGATGCCAACACACACCCTGCGACACGGCAAGGCCCCCAGGGAGATGCCCCCAACCACCGACACAGGCCAGGATTTATGAGCTTTACACAGACTGTTTTTCAGCCACGTAGGCCCTGGTGAAACCGCTCTCCAGCAAAACTTCTCTGCAGCAAGGAGAACACTGAAAACACACAAGCAGAAAGCTGCACTCTTATATTTCTTTTCACAATGGCAATGTCGCTATGGTGAACCAGGATGTAATTAGTAGAAAATGCAATATCTAAAAATGAAGTAAAATGCATTTTTACTTCAATAGCTAAAAAAGTTATTGGGGAAAAAATAGCCAGAAAAAAATTCTTATAATTCCCATTGCTTCTAAAAAGGCATGAAGGCAAATGGGACGTTTCATAAAAATATAAATGGAGAGGGTGATAAAACTCTACCTGGGAGTTAAATATGGACTACTTTATGTCTTTAGTTTACTTTTCCTCCAATTTCTTCTCCTCCTCCCCTTACACTTGTGTCATATGTATCCTTTTGGTTAGTAATAGTAAATTTATTGAAAGGATTTGCCTGAAAATAATCTTTGTGCCACATGCGAAAATGATTTAAAAAGCATTTTTGCAGAAAGCGTGTCCAAGGACAGAGGAAACCCACTCCCGAAGCCCACCCCCTCCTCATGTAGGACCGATGACACCAGAGTGTCCGTGAGCTCTTCTGGGTTACACGTAACAGAAGAGTGTGTCCCAGAAAGAATTCCGGATGATTAGTAAAATGGAGTGATTTTGTCTAAATCCCATCACAAGCTGTGTGTTTGGAACCCATCCTCTTCTAACACCTTGGAGTTTCACAAAATTAATGAGAAAATTCCAGTTAGTGACTCAGAGATTTCCATGGAGGTCCCTTTCCCTCCCCCAGCACACAGAGTGAGCAGTATAAAGGGGAGCAGAGGCAGCACTCGCTTTTACAGCTGCAAATTATTAAATATTTTGATTAAGGGAAAAATTATCATCAGTGCCAGTTGAAAATCTTGAATAAAGAGCTGTATCTAAAGTGTTATACTGAATTTTATCAAAATAGCATTTAACTTAATGGGTTTGTATCTTTCTAAATACATACATACAACCAATCTGCATTATTTCATTTCTTTCAGGACTTTTGCTAGAGCCAGCTCTTTGCTCTGGAGCTATTCTCTGTTCTTTACTGACCCCTTGTGGTTTCTAACTCCAAGGAGAAATTATTTTCTCAAACTCATTATGTTAAACCAATGTTTTCTTAGGATAATGGACAATAAAACTGTTTAATATACCATACAGCACCTCAACAGAGCTGGTTCTTTTGGGATATCTATAATTATATTCCCTATTCAATTTTTTTTTTCATTTTACTTTCATTTTATTTATGCTGCTGTATAGCAGTTAAAGCTGTAGGAAGAGTTTTTGAATGTATGATTTCTAAAAAATCCCCACTCTTGCCAGGCACAAGATTAAGGTAACCATATCCCCTAGAAAACGTAGACAATGAAGCCAAGTAACTTCAAAAGACTGTAATTTGGAAAGGGATATATTTATCCCAAGAACAGGAATTTCAGGGGATATTGCCCTGGACAAGGGCTGTCTGGCTGTGAGCAGTGAAATCCAGAGAGGGAAGAGTTTCCAGTTGCCCGTTTGGCGCTGTCAAGATGTTTAATCCGTTTAATAATCCTGCGGCCACCTGAGTCTACTTTGCTTTCTGCCTTTATTGCCAAACACTCCATCCCCCACAACAGAGCAGTGTCTAACTAGAGGAAATGTAATTAAAGAGGCTGCCTAGGAATAATATTCAAAAATTCTTGGAGAAACATCCTGTGGTAGCAGTAATAATAAACCCGAACAACAAATACGCTGCTAGAACAGCAAATCCCTAAGTGTCAAAAAAAGAACCGCTTTTATGTATGCTCCTTCCTTTTTAATTATGCAAATTACTGCTCATTTTCAAGAATAAAAAAACCTAGAGTGTAGAATTTGCTTTTAAGCATAAAACCCATTTGAATATGGAGAAAAATTATTAAAATTCTGTCTTAAGATAATCTTTAAGGACTTCTGTTCTACCGGATCTTGGCGCAAACCCCTGCCACCAAACACCACGGCCGCGACGCGCCGCAGAGCAGGACTCAGTTTCAAACCTTGGGGTTCTGTATCCAAGGCTTAACATGCTCTGGAATTATTTAATGCACACAAACACACACATGATGTTAGACATAACTTCATATCTATCCCAGACGCGCTTTTTCAGGGTAGCTTTTGCTCTGGTTTAAAATACATTTAAACACAGAAACTTGCAACTTCCCTGCATTAAACAAGTTTCATCACACCAATGAAACCACCATATGATTTTATTTTCAAATCAGAAGAGGTATAAAGGATTGAGGAAGGGTAGTCCTCTTCTGTTCAGGCTTTTCTGAGATAGAGATACCAGATAAAGAATCCAGGTTAAGAAAAAATAAGTTACTGATTTACATACCAAATGATTCCTGCATTAGGAAATATTTGGCAATAACAAATGGTCTTATTCTTTTTCTGGTTCAGTATTAGAACGTGGTGAAATCATACATTAATAATATAAACAACTCTTCAAAAATAAAATCTGATTTTAAAATTAAGTATTTTAAGCTTTGAGCTATAACATGTAAAATGTTCTAGGTCAATCTGAATTGTAAAAATACAGAAGATAATAATGGCTTCAAAAAGCTTAGACTCTTAAAACAGTTGACAGCACAGGAGCTTCAAATTTTAATTTAAATTGGAACTTAACTAATGTATGAAACTGAGAGCGTGATCTGTGTTGGTAACCTTTGCCCTCATAAAGCAAGATAATTTCTTAGAGATACATGCAAATAAAAAGTCCACACATGTATGTTCTCAATGCTGATACGTATTTTCCACGGCAAAATGGAAGTGGTGATCAGTGAAAGAAGTAAAATGGGAAGAGGTGAATTGGTATTTCTGGTACCACCACATCTGTGCATATGGGTAATATCTCTTATGATATAGTATACTCCAGCCAACATAGCAATATATCTAGTATATTATATCATAAAACATGCATGCTAGATTATGTAAATTTATTGATTTAAATATACAGTGAACACAAGCATTACTTGATCTGTGGAAGTTATTTAAAACTTCCGTGAGTGTCTTTCAAATTAAAGATGCACCATTTTCCATCTTCCATGAGAAAGCAGCATTCACTTAACGAATTCCTTCAAAAGTGAAGGCACGCTGCTTCTGCTGAGCTTTCATGGCCCCTTCGTTGTCAGCAAACTTCTAATGTGGGGAGTAGTTCGTGACAAATTATGGACATCTTTTTTTTTTTATATCAATTAGAAAAATTTTAACTGGGGAAAAAACAAGTGCATCCTTAAAATGCGATGAGAATGAAACTGAATTTAAACTTCAAACACTGGTAGAGAAGGTTGTGTGAAGAGAAAGGTGTAGAACACCAAGGAGAAAACTACCTTGTAGAAGTGGATATGACAGTCCTGGAAGAGACAGGAAAGGGAGAAACACTGCTTCGTTAGTAAAGGGCTGGCAGAGCAAAGCAACAACAATTAGTAGCAGAAGTAAACAAATAAAGACACAGCAGCAAAAATCGAGAAATGGACACATCTGTTATGCACAGAAAAAAAACACAGAAAAGAAATGGGGGCGTTAATCACCCCGGCAGCAAGGAGCACGGCACAGCACAATGCAGTACAGTCTTCACACAACTGCTCCTCACTGAGACCTCACGCCTGCACCCACCACATCCACACGCTCCATGCATGGACCATCCCCCACGGCATTAAACCACAGCAGTGCATGAAGCTAAACGTGTGCACAGATGTGTGTGCTCCGGGCTCCTGACAGCTAACCAGCTCTCTAGAGGGGTGACAGCACAAAAGGTGGGGGGGTTGCCTTGTTTTGAGACAAGCGTTTAAACTTTGTACAAGACGTAACAAAATCCCTGTCATCAATATGATTTCCTGTGTACGTTCTTCACCTTAAATCACAGCACACAGACCAAGAAAAGCCCTACAGAAGTCACGAGCCCAGAGATGCATACCATCCAGCAAAGAAATTTTAAGTTCTGGAAGTGGATGGGAAACCTCCAGATAACTGCATATGGGAATTCCCCATGCCAAACTATAGCATAGAACAGATGGAGACAGCTAACAGCATCTCTATAACGCTGCAAACTATTCTCTAATGATTAAATATGCACAATTTAAAAATAGGAATGAGTGCCACGGCCAAAAAAAATCATCTTTTCTTTTTATATCTCTATACGCATAATGAGTGTGGATTGATGTGCCAGTGATATTTTGGCTGGTCATGATTTCAGCGTAGCTCAGTGTCACTTTCCAGAAAAGCAAATTTCATCTTTTCTTTTACAATCTGAAGTGTCAGCAACGTTATTTCTCTTTTCCATGTCACCTTTGCTCAACCGCCTGAAGTTACAGTTATTTCTTCAAAATGGGAACACATACTGGTTAGACACAGATATAGTAGGGATCATATCTTTTATTTATTTCTGAAAAAAAAAGAGTAAAGCAACTGCAATGTAACAGCTCTGGGGCAAAACCATCGCCTCCCTTCAAAGACTTAAAAGAAACATCTCCTTCAGAGCCCGTAACAAGACTTTATACAGAGACCAGAAAAACTTACAAATTAACAAAATCACAAGCTCCCCTACAGTTTTTTTAATGAAAATATCATATTCAATTAGAAGACTCATTGGGTTCTTAATAAGCTACTGAAACGGTCCCTGGAGCCTTCTGCGAAGGTCCTGGCTACACAACCGCAGCGTATTTATCCAGCCTCCAGCTCTGAATTGAACCTGCTCCAGGATGCCTGGACCATTGATTAAAGGACAGAAAGAAAACGTCCTTTTGACCCAAAAGTGATGTAACTATGAGGAAAAAGCCCAATTTATGCAGAAAGTACTGTCCTTCTCCTTTCCAATAAAGCAGCCAGAAAATGCTTTAAACAATATAAAACTCAAGGGAGTGTTAAAGACCGAAGAAGTGAAACAAACTGAAAGGATGCGATGATGTTCAGAAAGGGAATGATAAATAACTCAAAGAAGTTTCTTTGGTCCTAGACTGCAACAACACTGAAACTATCAGAAAGCTTTAGTTGTGCCTTGAAATCTGCAGACATTTTCAACTAGTGTTGCACACCAGCTCTGGTGCAGATAAACGCAAGCTCTGTGTGCAACAGACACATCCACACTCTGAGACAGGCTACTTGGTCATAAATTCACGTCTGCACAGGGATTAACACGTTTGGTCAAACCACGCAGTGTCCTGCAGAGAGGAGGAGCTCAGCAGCACATGGGAAGCAGATATCTGCAGCTCCTGCGTCACCGGAGAGGTTCTGGGTATTTATAACCGAGCCTGGTGGCCAAGCACCACAATGTCCCTGTTCTTATCTTTAAAATGGTAAGGCATTTTAAAAGACATTTTCTTTAGGATCACAACAACAGTTATGTTTGGAAGCACTGAGATGTCGCCAAAATGTCACCACTGACTGTACACTTCCAATTTCCAGATACAATATTTACCCTGATGGAACTCTACTTCCTCTCTCCTCTTGTCCTCATCTGCTCAGTCTGCAGAATGGAACTACAGGTCTGGCTCCTGCGCAGCCTCCAGCAGCGACCCCACGGGCACGAAGCAGCCAAAAATGTAACTGCTGTGATGGTGATGTGAGAACAGCCACAGCACAGCCCGGGGTGCCCGGCCCCCCCAGCTCCGCAAGGCTGGGCCCTCACTCCTGGCAGCAGGACAAGCCCATGGGGCTGGTGAGCAGTAATAAACTGGAGCTGCTCCTGGGTGGTTTATCTGGTACCCAAGTCAATCCCAGGAAGGGGAGACTGAAAATAGAGCATACAACCAGTCTGGAATAGTACAAACCCTGCAGCCACCCGCACCGATGTCGGGGCTGAAATCCCTGAACACCCACAGCGGGATGTCCACAGCCACAGATGTGGTGTCTGTCCCCAAGGGCCACCAGAACGGCCCCACACGGATGCCCTCGGTGGGGACAGTGGTCTGAGCTCTCTCCCAGAAACTAAGGGAACGATTCTGTTCTACTGACACCCCCCAGAGAGCTGCACTAAAGGAAATAACTGGAACAAAAGAAAATGTCTGACATCTTAAGAGCCTGTACCAGGAGGACTGTTACGTATCTGCTCCATGGACACCTTAAAAATGAAGATTATATGAGCAGTAACCAATTCCCTTGTACCAGCTTGCTGGGATCACTTCAATTACTAAAGGTGACTGTAGAGACTGAGAGCTCCCATCGCTTAATATACCTTGTACTTGGTAAATGTATCCGCATGTCGGGATTATAGCTACTCTCTTATTTTTTAATTAAAAAAAACCATTGATATGGACCATAACAGCTGCTTTCTTTTTAATAACATTTTCCATGTTGGTGATGTGGAAAGAAGGGGACAGACAGAATAATTAACCAGCACACTTTTAAACCAGTATTATTCTATCATTATTCTGAGGTCATGTTTTAAGTATCAGTAAGTGTTTTACTAAGCAGCAAATTATGGGAAACAGGGCTTGACAAAACTGAAATAACTTCCTACAATAGAAGTTTTAGAATTTGCACATTTCTTTTCCCCAGATAAAAAAAAAAAGCAGAACAATGCCCTAAATGGCAAAAACATACTTCTAAAATCATAACCAGGTATTAAAAATACAATAAGGCTGCATTTTTTCAATATTCTGCTTTTTTTCTTTGACTAGCAAAATACTGTAAGAGGAAAATAAGCATATAACAAATAGTAGATAAGGCAGTTAAAGGACTTGCTAGTTTGGGTCCATGGAGCCACTTGGGACTATTGGGAGTTCCCATGGCAACCTCAGCACGGACAATTACAGAGCAGCTACAATTATTCTGAATGCGCCTGTTGAGAACAGAGTTTCATTTTGAGATAGCCACAAATAATGCCATTCCAGAGAGAGAATTCACAACCAAAGGTTAAAACCAAATGAAAAACAGTGACAGATTTTATCCTGCCTCCACTTCCTACAGGAGTATATTTTTATCTCTAAATATTAATAATTATGTATCATCTGTAAATCACTGAAGGCACATTTGTTCATACTGCTAAATGAGCAGATAACTGATTTGTAAGTTTTAGTGATAGGTGAGATCTAGAAAATATGTAGATCGATTAAAATTTGTTGTATAGCAAATACAGCACTGCACTTATACATAATATACCTCAATTTCAATATGCAGTGCAACTTCCTATAGACAATGCACAGACAGCATACAAAAAGAAAATTCTTTGTAGTAAAATCTCTAAATACTTAGTGAGGTCACTGCATTATTCCATTAATGAAACCAGTGTCCTCCTCAAGGCTTCTCATTCCTTTCCAGTTGGGTCCCACTGGCTGGACTGGGCACAAGTTGGGTGTTGATGTTTCAGCTGCTTTAGATCTGGCAGAACAGGCCACAAGGAAACAACTTCTTGTGACAAATAGGTTTTGCTGTTCAAATACAATTGTAAGTGAGGAGAACGTTTGAATCTATTATTTATTTACTTATAATCTTGTATAGCTATTTTATGGTAGATTTATATTCAATAACAGACTTAAAGAATCTGTGCCAGAAGGTCCAGTAAGTAAAGCAGCACACCAAGCAGATTTGTGTGACTAATAACCACTTTTAAATAAACCAAATTTAAAGATGTCTCTTGAACTATATATATGGCTAGATATGTTAAAAATTCTCATTGATTTAAAGGGGAGGCAGCTCCTAAGTGCTCTGGGAGATTCTACCAAGTATATTTCTAAACTTTAGTCAAAAGGGCAAAGTCAGTTTTAAGAATGACTTAGACTTTTTTTTTTTTTTTTTAGACCAGAAACTGGTTTTGGAAATTTCACCTCTACCAGGTCTGATCTTTTAAAACGTAAAAATATTCTTATTCTTTGTTTATATGAAGCAATGAAATTCTCATCCTAAAGTTTCTCTGTTCTTGCACAGCTCAGATTTGTATACAGGTCTTTACTCTGAAGACCATCATTATTCATTTTAGGTATTTGGTATTAGTAATGCAATACCTCTGTAGAAATTGTTGTAATTTTGTACTCAAAATGAAATCAGAGTAGCTTGGATATCCATCACACTGCCATGTCTCAAAGAGCAGCACCACAAATGCAGACTTGATTAGCAGCACTCCAAAGTTACTCTGCTCTGTAAACTGATCAAGGAGAAGACAGCCCCGTATGACCTCTGGGCCCAGCTACGTTCTTAATCTTCCTGACAAACCCCCTCCCCTAGTGAAATGGCAGTCAAGATCTGCAATCTTCTTCCTGGAAGGTTTCAAAGCTGATTTCAGAACAGTGGAAATATTTATTTAGATGATGTCATTATATCACAAATAGCAGCGTATCTCTCAGTGTCATCTACTTGTTCCTTAGGGTAGGGTACCTAAAATAAAATGACTATTTAAGCCAAGATATAAATGATAAGAAAAACAACGCAAAAGATGATTGGAGTCAGCACCACTTACGTACCGTACCAGAATAGCTAATAAGTTAAATATCACCATTCAGACATCTGTGCTGTTAATTTTTAATATATCACAGTAATTCCTCTAGAGACCAAGTAAGAACATTCCTTGGAGGGTGCTGCTCCCCCTGTTCTTCCTCACAGTGGAAAACTCTGAGAATAAGAGGTTGACCCTAAATTCTTTTACCTTGTAACTCTGCATTGTACTAGCCTTGGTCTAGTTATAATTGCACATTTTGTTCGGCTCCCAGCATCCCCATATATCATCATTTAACACTGTTCATTATGCAACTCTGTAAACGATATTCCTGGAGACACTGTGTTCACGAAAAACCTATTTCCTTGATTAATTCAGACCACTAAAATAGCATCAACCAGGCTACCTCCAGAACAGGGAAAGCCTCAAATACCCAGTGCTGAGGCTGAACTAATTAGACTCTGAGACAGACTAATTATTTGAGGCAGAGCTGACCCTATGTGAAGCTGCTGTTTCTGGGACCCAGTCCAGTAGCTTCACAGGATAGAACCTCTCAGGATTTCTCCACCACTTCATTGCAGGACACAGATAAACCCTGACTGTTCAGTCTGAAACCAGTGAATTTACAGTAGGCTTAGGAAAAAACCCCGAGAGACTGTAAATTCAATATGCAAACAAACTGCACATAATAACTGACATTTAAAAATAGATAATTTTAGTGACTTGTCTTTGTGCTGTCTCTGTCCTGAGAAAAACCAGGTAGATTTCCATACCTGTATCACCCACATGGACAACACACCCAGTTCCAGATTCTGGATATTGCACAGAGACACGTAAGGGTTGAAAAGAATTAGTTTCGATGCTATTCTTTCTAGGGACACTAAAAAATAAATATGATCTTGAGTAGAAAATGACCTAGTGCAGCAAAATAAAAATCACACTGGTCAGATCACAACTGTAAAGAAAGGAAAATGAAATGGAATTTCAAATACTTCTCAAATGTATAACAAAAATCATAGTTCATGCTGCAGACAAAAGTATGGTAGCTGATCCAAATGTGTTCAGAAGAAATTCATGCACCTTTTCTTTTTCTTTCTTGAAAGTTGAACATAGGCCGTTTTTCCTCACTTTCTTGGGTTAACCCATCTTTTATAATAACAATGTAGAATTCTGCCTGATGGTGAACATAAAAAATTGCCATTTCAGGTTGAAAGGAACAGGCACATTTAGGCATGTCTGCTTACGCACAACAGGTACATTAATTGCTTTCTGGATAAACAGCTAGACTAAAGTTGTAAATGTTGGACCAGAAAAGAGAAAATAATGCTGTAGATTATTTCAAATTCAATAGTGCACGTGCAGCTGGAAAGAGCAGTCAAGTCAGATGAGCTGAATCCATGAACACAACCCCCCCCTCCCCTCCGGTCCCTGGGTTTAGTGACCAGAAGGCATTTTGCTGTAGCTGTGGGACAGGCAGGACTGCTGGCCAAGTCCACTGAGGAACACCTCCTCTGCGAGGTAATTAACATTGCATATATTTTCTTTAAAAAATCCCCACATTTAGTGTGAAACATTCTCAGTATTAAAATACTGTTTTTTTCCAAGAATTTAATTTGTCAAATATTATAGATACCAGTGATAGCAGCTAGCAGATTTTGCAGCAAGCATTAAAAGACACTGAAATTATTACACATACTTGACATAAAATATTTCAAAATACCAACTTACAAATGTCATAGCAGAGAAGTTGAACTGTCAGAAAAATGACACTACTATTTAATTAAGTCACTTGGTCCAATCTTCAAGAAACTCAAAGGTACGTATTGCTGCCACAGGCAACAGAAATAGTAGCAATCTAATATGTAACTTTTAACCGGTGATTTTTGTGATAAAGTGAAAAATGTACGCCACATATCGTTGCACCCATTTGTGTTTAACCCTCACCTCAAACTTCTGTCGGAGCTCTGCATTTCCATCTTCATCAGCATCTGGAATTGGAACGTTATAATATTCACCTTCTTCTTGATTCAGCAGCTTGTACCTGTGGAACATTTGAGAAAAAATGGTGACTTTACAGTTACAGTTCTGTTAGGATTTAAATTCTGATTTAGTTGTTTATTAGTTGTTTATGGATGGTTTGTATCAATGTCACAGGTACATGAAGAACTGCTTTCAAAGGTATAAAGCAAACTCAGAAACAGAATGTATTTAACCTAAAATTAGACCTTTAAACCCAAACTATGTGCCAAGACAGTTTAATGGACAAGGAAATTCTTCCCAGCCATCCTGTGATATGATGGGAGATACCAACCCTGAAGAACCCTTGCCTCCAGTGCTTTTGTAGCCCTGAACAATTACCTTTGATGAGATGCACTTTTTGAGAAGATGGGACAAGTTCTACCCGTAGCTTGGTAGGTAAAAAGATGGCATTTTATAAAATCAGTTCCACGTGCTTTGAATTTGCAGAGCTATATATAACACAATATGCTTAGTAATGAATGTATTATTATTTGGGATAAAATAAAATTCGTATCACAAGACTACGTACACAGAATTGAGTTTGCAGCAGCTCCTGGCTCCAGCAGAAGTTTCATGAACACCACAAAAGAAAAGCACTCCTTTATTATCTTTCTTTGTTATATGTAGCCTATGTTTTCCAGGTTTAGGTGCATTTTCAGTGAATTTATAGCACGAGATACAGCAAAAAGCTCAAAAAGGGTAGATTATATTGAAGAAAAGTACTGGTTTTAAACTTTTTGTGATCTATTCTCTTTTTCTCTCTTTTCTGACACTTACCACCCACTGGCTGGCATTTTCATAAGTTCTGACACTCCAAATGAAAGAGATCCCATGAAATCATTTCTGGTTGTTCGATCCCAGTCCCAGACCTCCACGGACAACCGTCGGTCTTTGTCTGTAGGTTTTAATTTACTGGAAAGGAGAGAAATACAGGAGTTTTCAATGCAACACTGAAATAAATGATTCAATACACACAAAGATACTACATTAAAAGGCGTTAAACTTACAATGTGAATGATTCGTTCCAGTCGGGGTTCAAAGTGGAACGGATGGTTTTTGTCTTTTGTTTACTTTCGTTCTTAGGATCTGGGATGAGCTTCAGTTTAACATAAGGATCTGAAAGTCCATTTGGGTCCATAGGAATTAGGTTTTTTGCTTCTCGCACTGCCAATATAAAACATATCTAACTTGTATGGGAATACAAATCACCATTAAGAAAGCAGTAACATGTCAAACCAGGGTTATTGAAACATGTTGGAAAATAAAACAAGTAAGACGTGAAATCCACTTGTCAGACTTGGCACTGAAGAAACTGGCTGTTGTAAGGTAAGGTTGCACTTAGCAGTACTTGTAAGAACGGTAGAGAGAAATGACAGGAGAGAATAGCAATTCACAAATGACATGCAGCTTCCAGGCACCTCCTTTCCTGCAATGAAATGATTAAATGTCCAAATCCATCACTATAAACTGTTAAGCGGCTAGCAATTCTTCATGCTTTCATTTACTCACCAGTCTTAGGTTGTACCACTACAGGACTATCAGCCAATTACTGTAAGGATGATGGCCAGATCACAACAGATTTCAGAAAACAGGTTATTTGACATGATCTATCATGGGAAGATATCTAACACTAAACTTCCCTCGGGTTCACAGTTCACTAGTTGTCAGACGGATACGCTGAAAACATGATGTCATTATAGCAACCAAAGGAAAAGCACAGAGAAGACAAGCTTAACTTCAGCTTCACAAAAATGTTAATGTAGCTTCTATTTTTACAATGTCCAAAGAAGACATCAAGTGAGTTAATATATCTCATGTTGTTGCCGATCCCCAAAGAGAGAGAGATGAGAATAGCCAGCAATCTGCACGGGGTGCCATTCCCCACAAAGCACATCCCTCAGCTACGAGGCTCAGGGCAGGCACCAGTGCGTCATGATGGCATTTTTTGGGGGTTCAGCAGCTTTTGGGTCTCTGGCTGGAGAGGAGCTGTGGGGTTCGTTAAGCAGTTCAGAAATTGTCTCCACTCTCATTTACCCAGGGTTAACCCTCTGAAGATCTCAGCACCCAGCAGTTAGCTGGAAAACCAGTTCTGTTTTCAATCCACCAACACTCCCTCCCGCTAATAAAATTTAGCACACTGAAAGTGATCTTCAAATACTCCTAAGGAATAACATCACAATTAAATAACTTATTTTAGTGAAATATTTACAATCCCAAAGGGACTAAGAACCACAAAGTGAGTGAAGGATGCAATGCAAAATGCTCTCTCTTATCCTGTATTTGGTTTTATTTTGTTTTGGTCTTTTTTGGGTCTTCTGCACAGCACTTGTGCCTGCACTGCCAGGTTTGGCACATGAATTATTACTTTAAAACCCACTTTTTGATTTTTATTTCTATACTGTAGTTTGGCTAAGTGAAGAGCAGAACTCTTTACATGTTCTACAGCTTCCAAGAAATACACACTAATAAGTTTTTAATTAAAATTCCTTGAACAAAATTGCTTAATTTTAACACGGCATCTTCACACTGATCCTTAATGTTTAAATTTTACCTGGAAAGGTTCAGTGTGAAACCAAGCAGTTTTGAGAAACTGGCTGGGTGGATGCAGAGCCATTCTCTGCGGCTCTGCCATGGAGAGGTCCCTGGGGAAAGCCACCACCAATGAACCTCCAGAGGTGCTGCCCAGCCCAGGAAACACCACTGGCAGGAACAGGATGTGGCAGCATCCTAGAACTACTGCTTTCTTTTGCGCAAACATAGAAAAAGAGAAAAAAACCTCTAAATACAAGGGAAAAAGAGAAGTTCAAAGATTAATTGGGAAGGAAAGATGCAGCATATGCTAAATACAGGCTGTCAAAGAAGTCATTATCTCACTCCTTAGTTTAAGATATCTGGCCTGTTTGTACTTCTGTCTGCATAATTAGTACCCTTAGACATCTCCTCTCAACTGATTTTGCACTTCTTTCTTGAGGAAACAGCATGATGATACTTGTGCTAAATAGTGCTTAGAAAGAATTAGCATCCAAGTGCCCACTTTAAGGGCACGCTATTTTTAAGAGAATGGGTCAGGTTTCTACAAGAGGATTGACAAGAAGAGATTTCCCCTCCCCACCAAAGGCACTGTCTCTTCTGTGTGCTTGAAACACAAAAAGTTAAATGAAAAAGAACTCCAAGAAAAAAAATCTATGTACTGTAGCTGAATTCTGCCAGAGCTGTAATGACAGCGAGCAATCTCATACTGCTTTATAATTATTAATTAAACTCAACACTGTGATAGAGACGTTCCTCTAACTTATAGATGGTTGAAGGGAGGTACAGTTCAGCATCACTTGAAGCGTAACTTGACAGAAACCTAAAATACTACTTGCCAGACTTCTGTCGTAACTATTGAGCATGATAATGACCCCTGTACTGAGCAAAGCAGCTGGTACAAGTTAAGATTGTCATCCGGACAAAACGTTAGAAAATTTAACGGGGACTGAGACTGCACACATCTGAAAACACAGTGAAGAGATGTACACATTGAAGTTTCGAACAAATCCAAACTTGCCCAGGTTTTCCTTCTAAAAAACAGAATTCGTTGCCAACTCTCTATAGGTAATAAAAGTACCAGTTTCCTCCTCATTGTTAATGAAGAAGAGTTCATAAATGTTTAGTCAGCAGAAAGTGTTGACTATTTGATGGCTGTCCTACGGATATTCTATTATGTGCTACTTATAATCCTGCAGTATCCACCCAGAAGCCGTGCCTAAAACTGGGAGGCCCACTTTTCCAAGAATAGTATAAAGACATAAGCAAATACAGAGCTGGTTCTTAGGTACTCATACTCTAAATAAATATCTAAATATGACAGAGTGGGCTGGCAGAGAACAACTGACATTCTGCATAGTGAAGAAATTCAGGCAGAATTTTTAGGAATTCAGACAGTTGGTGACAAAAATCAAACTTTTTTCATGAGATTGTACAGGTCAAAAGTTGCAAGCCATATGTAGTTATGGATTTATAACTTCTTGTGACACCAGCAAATATGGTCACAGGAATGAGTAAATAAATGTTTCTGTCCTTATAACAAAGCTGAATTATTCCCAGCATGAGTTTACTCAGTTCCTTTACAAGTGAGTCACAGCTACCTTTTTCCTGAATTCCCAAATGTTGATAATGAAACAGTTTACTAATCACAGAGACCATTTCTGGCCAATCTTTTAGCCCCAACAGGCAACTTAGATGAGCAGGAATCTCTCAGCTGCATGTGAAGAGCTGTTTTCAGAAGAGGCTTCAGATCTCAGATGGTCTCCTCTGGCAAGGTCCCCAGCATGACAGAAAAGGGAGACCTTTGGCAGTTCCAAGACATCGTAAAGTTCATGTCTTCCCACAATAAAGCATTAGTAAACCATTCCATAATTCTCATCACTTCCCGAAGAAGATTCTGGTACAGATTCCAGTGATCTGCCCCGTTTACAGAAGACTTAGGAGAGCGACAGAGGATCTTGTGTTCCCAGCCAAGGAACCTTCTCCCCAGGATATTTTCCCTTTACCACACTCCCCGTGATCACAATGGGAAAGATTTACCTATTACTGAAAAGAGTCTTTCTTCCAAGCTGCGTACTTGTACTCTCTAGATGCAAAATCCAAAGCTGCTCAGATTTCCTTAAAGATTTACTGTAGGATTTTATTAAAAGTCTCAATGAATGCTTGCTTTCTGGAGCTGGCTGTGACTCGCGTGTACAACTGGCTCCAAGACAAATTCCGCTTTTCAGATGATTTCCAGTTTCTATACAGTTTTCAGCCACTAAAAATGCTTTCTGAAATGAGACTTTTCTCTATTCTATAACTACACCCCTGCCCAACTGAAATTTCTTTTAATAGCCCTCCTGAGACCAGCTGCCTCCTCATTCCACCCCTTCTCCTGACTCTTCAAAGTTGGCAACATAACAATTGTCAGCTCCTGGAACGCCTGCACTGCTCAGGTGATTTACACACAAGAAACAGATGATTAATTTCCTTCCTAGAACAAGATGAAAAATGAACCAATGTTGTACAACACTTTATTCCTCTGTATTTATTATTAATACAGTCTCTCCTACTAACAAAAAATGTACCATCATCTCTAATGCTACTAAGTACTTGTGCCTGCAATCGCTTCTCCAGTTTCAATTTCAATTGCAAATCTCATAGGAGCAACTGTGTTTTACTTGTAAAATAATATTACCTTTATAAAAAATTATTATCATAAAAAACTATGTACTGCTGGGTAGGACAGCCACTTCATAAAACATAAGTCTTAACACAAGATGTATCAAATTGTCTGAAAAGGGATTCAGACTATGAAATTTCTAATTCTTATTTCTTTATATTCTTACATATATATATATAGCATTTCAGTCACATTTGTCATATGCATGCAGATAGCTATTTATGAAAAACCAATGTTTCTTCTAAATCCTATGCCTTGCTTATTTCTTCATGGTAAAGTTAATTCAGTGAAAGAAATGGGGAGCGTTCAGCTGCTGCCGGGGCTGGCACTCGCTAAACACACAGCTCTTCCTGCAAAGAACGCTGCAACCCTGGGGTTCTGGGAATGCCAGAGAAAAGAGAAGACATTACTGAGATAAAACACATGATTCTCATTCTTTGAAACATTAAGAATGCCTCCCACATGCAAGTAGTTATTTGGGATCACTTTATAGCTATTTGGTACTAAAAGCTGTTTGAATAGCCAGAATATTCATACACGTTCCCTTTTAAAATTAGTTACAGAATATCATTAAATTAATGCTAACAAAGACAAACACTAATGCCGAGCTAGACAAACATAAATAAAATTATTAGAGCGTGTGTGTGGTGGGTTTTTTTAAGGAAGCAATTTTTATGAGAATCTAGAAAATATTTTCCAGTTTGTCTCTCAGTCTTGTTTGGGTAGAGGCTCTGAACCCAGCTGGCCACAGCAAGCAGCGTGACAAGGCACTAACATGCAGTGCCATAGGGTGGCTCAGCAGTCATACACTCATAAATAATTTGAAAAACATACGGTGGGGAGCACAGAACTCCTGGTGAGCTCACTGTTGGAGAGCCTGTTATGTGCTCCCAACCTCTGCAGAGAGCACTGCCAGCTTTCCTCCTCTTTTAAATAACAGAAGCATCACTGAGGAATAAAAGCAGATTTTCTGTATTCTTTCAGCTAATGAAAATACACTTAAACCCCCTGAAAATGCGAGGCTGTGTGTGTATATATATTTTAATAACGTTTATGTAACAGTAGGGTGCATTAGCTGCCAGCGAGTGGGTAACACCCTGCCTGTAACTCAGTGCCTGCCGGGAGGGCAGCTCCTCACTCTCAGCTGCCGTCAAACCCAGCTCCCGACTGACAGGTCACAGTTTAGGATCCCAATAACGTGGCAACTTGTTACACGTCAGTGCACCAGATGGGTTATTTTCTCACAAAGGTTATTGTTTACTCACTATAAAAATAATTCAAAAATAAAATAAATCAAAACTGTGATTCAACCTCCTACAAACTCACTCAGAAGAGCCCCAAATTATAAGACGGGTCAACAAGTAAACGTGAGAGTGACAAAACTTTTAACGTACATCAGGAGGAAGAAAATTCTGTGCAAAAAGCATAAAGAATAGCAAAACCAGCTTTACTAAGCATAAAAGCAGAATCTTCAGGTCAGTCCAGCCTATGAAAGGGTCATGAATTCAGTGATTGCAGAAAAAAACAATTCAAGATAATTTCTATAAAAAGCAAATTACCAAGCTGATTTACTGCAAGTGCAATAAATAACTAATATCCAATGCAACTCTCAAGCTAGTAGCTATAAAATAAAGCATTGATATTTAAAAACAGCAACACAAACAAGCACTGAATGTGGAACATCGACAAGCACTGGGAAGATGGCAAGGTTTTGGCAAAGTATAGCAATATAAAATTCCTACTTATTTGCAAGAAAGTGTTGCTGAGTCTCTAGCATTCCCACTGAAAAGACTGTATGTCTACTTCTAAGCACCCAGACTGAAGCTCTGACTTAGTAAACCGGAATGAAGTATGTTTACATGCAGGACTGCATCATTCCCACCATCAGTTCAACACAAAACCCACCAGAGCCCTCAGGTATTTCAGATAATCGGGTTGAAGCACTGGCCAACCCCACCTGGCCTCCTACTCACTGGGAAAAAACCCCAGTCCTATTTACAGTATTTTATCAGGAAAACACTTAGTAAGTGAGTGTGCACCGTGTTGCCTTTTTTGGAAACAAAAGCCAGCACAAAGCCCTCAAAGCCATTACTAGAAGCAAAGACAAACCACAACCCACTGAACAGTGTCCCCAAAGGCCTGTGTCTCCCGGTCCCCACCGAGCGGGGGGCTCTCCCGGCTGAGCAGCCCATGAGGTGTTGGTGAGATACCACCTGGAGAGGCACGTCTCCATTTAGCAGCACAAATGTTCTGCATGCAATCAAGGCTGGCTACCAAAGAATCAGCAGGAACTAATTAACAACTAAAACAGGATGCAAAGCAGAGATATTAAGGAATTCAGCTGAAGGAACTCAACACCTACGGAGTCATTCCTTTGAAAAAGACTTGAGCAAAGCTTCCAACCAAACAGCTGGTCATTGGTTATTTTTCCTGCTGTTCCTAAACCTCCTGGACATTTAATTCACCCCCTTTCCCGAAGCAAAAGGCAGTGGTACCATGCTTAGCAGCCCTGGGTTTGTCAATAAATATGTATTTCAGAAGCAATGCCATACTGGGAGAAAAGGAAATTTTTGCACAGCAATACGCCCACCAACTGACTGACAATTGCTAATGTTTAAACGTGCACTAAAGGTACCTGAAACTTCACCTGGCCTGGGCTTAGTCTGTATAGTATTTTTTATTTTTAAAAAAAATGAAAAAGATAAAAAAACCCCTTACTTTCGGGGCAACTGTCATTTTTATTTAAAGAAACTTTCCGAAAGCTTGGAAATGCTGACAAAGCTCAAGCAAAACAACTTAACAGCACCATAATTACCGTAATTGTTATACACATAACAAGGTTATAGTAAACATTTTTCTTGTTGTCCAGAAACCTACTTAATTGTGGGATAGAAAAGTTTTATTTATAAACACAAAAGTAACAGCATTTGCCAAGTACGCTCACACCAAAAAGAGCTCGTGAAGAAAACCTACAAAATATCTGTAACAATTTTACCATATTCTTATTTCAAACAAGACCTTTAAAAATAAAATCGTGAACTAAAAGAATACCTATCTGTGTAATTGCTTTGTAGTGCCTTGGTACCACAAAGACTTGTGACAAGTGTTTTTGTCCCCAGAAGGATTATAAACCTGCTGAATCATCAGAAAATATGTCCGTGTTACTTGTCAAATTAAGCGCATTATGTCAGGAAGTTTAAGCCCTATTGTAGAGCCTTGACTCAAAGAGGCCTAGAATAATGCAAATACTGTGGACACTGAATTGGGTCTCTCGCAGTGCCAATGCTAACGACGTACCAGGGTACATCAAATGGGATGGAGCAAGATTCGTTGCCTCCAAGTTTTCTTCACTGAAGTAGTGGTGGCCACCTGTGACGACACACCAACCACTCTCCTGAGCTAAAAGCTTTTGATAATTTGTATTTTATGAGTGTCTTCTACTCCATTTCCTACATTATATCATACCTATTTTGGTTCCAGTTACTACAGCACATATTTAAAACTTCCTTAAAGTTTTGAGCCATAAAAAATTGACACTTTCTTTTAGAATTTAATTTATTCCTTCCCTTATTTCACTTCTGTCCATCGTAATTCTTGCCCCGTACTCTCCCTTTCAGTAAATACACTGCAATCTGATTGGCAAAGAACATTTTTTTGCATATTTGTATCCAACAGAGAGGAATAATCAACAATAAAGTTCACTACCAACTTTGCACTTCAGATATCAGCTACACTAATTATCAGCTGACCCCAGCTGCAATAGACAGCTCCCACAGAACACGTCAATGTGCCATAAATACAAATTCTTATGCAGATCCTGAGCAGTAAACTCCACTCTCTGATACAGCACAAGGAAGTTCTGTTGGAACTAAGCAACCTATTACATGGCTATTTAGTGGAACAACACAGTCCTTCAACCAGCAAAATAAAATTTGCAGATATTTTTCTGCAACTTCAGACTTGGAAGGGGTCGGAGGGAGTGCGGGGGTGTGCGTGTGTGTGTGCACAACTGAAGTTTACTCACGAATTCTGGGAGAAACACTTCCAAGGAAAAGAACTGCCACCCTCTCTTTCCTTCCTCTCTCCCTCCTCCCCTTCTCAGTAATCTTAACCTTACAGATTGTGATAATTTATTTTTTTATTTTGTAATTCACTGGGAGTAAAATTTGGGATTGAATCCAAGTTGCCTTTGTTTATTAAATACTCTGAAATGCAGGAAACAGCTCCTCAGCTGATGATGGTTCAGGGTATTTCTTGTGTTCTGAAGATGATGGCTAACTTCCTGAGCAGCCAGCTATCCTACTGGGCTGCTTTCTCCATGAAAAATTGACATTACAGTGTTTTTCTAATTAATATTCCTGAGTTTTTAAAGCTATTACTACAGCTTTCATTTTTTATATGTACTTTTGTGAACACCAGTTCATTGTTTCTTGATTCAAGAACATGTTGAATGGAATCCTCACACCTCTGAAGGGAAATACTCCATCACTGGCTTTAATACACAAAGATTTGACAAAGGTACATAAACCCACAGTATATTGTGCATTAATGAAACCTGCAAAATTCCAAAATGAGTTGTTTTACCTGTTACTTCCAGTTTGTCACCAGTGACTTCAGCTTTCAGATAAATCCTCCCTCGTTTCTCCGTGTGATCCATGCCGCAGAGGCTCGGGACGTTGATTACACATTGCTTGTGAACATTCATATCACAGGCTGTGGATATAAAATCGGTTCAGCCACTTTGAGGAGCTAATAATGTGATTAGACTGCGAACACTGAGCAAAGTGAAAGTTAAGATTACGATGCTGAACGACCAGCAAGACTTTCGGACTACAGCTGCTTGTTTCTCAACTGAATGACACAGCTAGTTTCCATCCTACAATACATTTTGTAGAAAGTGAATTAAACAGAGACTAAAATAATCTACTTCAGAAACCAAAGGATATCATTAATGAAGGGCAAGGAAAAAAAAGTGAAAATGGAATAAAGACTTGCTGGGAATATGACTAAGAAAACAGAGCATTAGCAACGAAAGGAGTTCGGGTTACATTGATTATTAGATTTTCTAGCAGGAGACTTCCAAGACAAAGGAAAGGCACAGAAATTATTGGTCCTTGGCTACCAACCAAACTGAAAATTCAGTTTCCAACAGTGTATTCCCCTGACCAGCCCCAAACCAGCCTTCCTCAAAACTGCCATGGCAAAGGCTCTTCCACCACATCAAACTCAACACACCATGTTCTCGGCAACAGAGGTGATTTTCATTAGTATATTATTATAGTACTGAAATATTCACTTGAAATATAACAGTGCTATAAATAGCTAACATTTTAAATAGTATTTTCCACAGAAACGAAATCAGAGGCTGTTAACCAGCGTTTCCACTTACTTTCTAAAATACCCTTTTGGTAACATGTCAGAACTCCACTTACTGTCACATTTCATCCCTTGGTGCAGCAGCCCATAGAGCAGCGAGCCACAATGGTCACAAAAGGTCGGGCTCCCATATGTGTGGATCTTAAACTTGTGCTTGCTTCTGGGATCCTGAGGGAAAAAGCAGGAAGAGATTCTCAAGTCAGAAAAAGTAAGATTGACACACCTTTAATATATTACTTCAAATACCAAAAAAATTTCCAGCTCTCCAACTTGTGCTACAGAAAAATATATTCCAGCAAGTAGCTTATTCCCAGCCCTTGGAGCGGTACCTGCGTCGGCGCAGGCCCTGCGGCCTCGCTTCCTCATTTTCCTTTGCCTTGGGGTTTGGAGAAAGGGCATGGTGGCCCAGAGAACAGGCCTGTTCCTGTGACTCGTGTCCTGACCTCAGACACAGGCAGTGTAAGGAGGGGGCTCAGCCCGTGGCTGAGGTGTCACACAGTGGCTGCCTGTTCATTGTGTGCCATCATCACCCTCCTGAAATGATGGCACAGAATTCAGCAGGAGAGGACGGAAGTAACTGTTATGGGGCTAATCTGAAATACAGTCAAATGCCTCTAAAACCAGGATCTTAAAGACGGGATGATCTTGAAATGCTGCGAATTTATATTACTGTAAATGAAAGTGAACAAAGTCCAACTTGGCACGTAGTGAATATTTTACAGACTGCTACTCCCGTCTGATTTTTGAACAGAGCCTCTTACAGTGAGGACATTTTAAGGCCACCACCAGCTTGGAAATGGTTTCTAATTTAAGACCAGTGAGAGGGAACACATCCAAATCACTGAAATGCATGACACATCCAGATACATTTGCTGTTTCTCTAGGGGGAGAGATCCCCTTTGGAAAACCAAGCACATTCATATCAAAGAAGAAGAAGAAATTGCATCTTCACTGCATTCACCCATGTCAGGCTCATTCCACGTATCCATGACCACAGAACTTCACCTGCCCCAGCCTGTTCCCAACGCTGGAGACCCACATTGCCAAAATAAAATGTGCAAGCCCCAGACTTCTGTGCACATCGCCTATGTTTTGTATCATTTATGACCACTTCCAGCCCCAACTGTACTTTTGTCAAAACTATCACTGCACAATCTTGACCAAAAGTTGAGAAGAGCAGTGATTCTTCTTCATTAAAAAACATACCCTGGGGTTTGAAATCACTTCGTGCTAACGTTATTTACAGAAGGAGCACGGAAATTATGAAATCCCAGGTCTGTCATGCATTAAAACATTCTTAAACATGACTGCAAAATGAGGCATCAAAATGTTTTTCTTCTGTTTACATTTTATATTAATATACCTTTATATTAGATAAGGCTTATCAAATTGTCTTAAACAATAAACTAACCTTTCAACTTGCCAATAAAAGCTTTCCCAAAAACCAATAGCAAAGCACAGCATGTTATACAAATGGAAAACTTGCTAACTCTTTATTCAAAAATTAAAGATTCCTTTAGAATAAGTGCTTTCTCAAGATATTCAAGAATTTTGGAAACTTCAAACAGTAGTTATCATAAAAATATGACTATAAGAAGGCAAAATCTTGCCTTCAAAATTTAACATTTTTGCATCCTACACTTTGTGAAGGGTTTTTTTTTGTTTTGGTAAGCAATCAGTGGATGAAGCTTTTTTGGTCCTAAGTTTTATGACACATCTATAAGCACGAGTTTTCACTGCTGAGGCAGAAACTCCATAGTATCTTGGATAAAGAGGAAAGGCTTTACATTAAGAATTCAAATTGAGTCTATTTCACTAGTTCTGTTTGTTATACAGCCTGAGATATGAAATGCAAACTGCTAACAACCATATTTATTTTGTAAACACAGTTAACCTACATGGAATGACATTCAATGCTCCAGAGAACATCTGTTTCGTTATTTATTAAAGATATTGCCAATGGCTCTTGCGGTGCGGGGTCATGGGAACATTGCTTTACTAGAGGGTTATCTGATGGATCGACTCTGACTATGCCTTCCAAACAACTTAAAACACATTTTCAAAGCTAATTCTTCCTTAAATTGTTTTCTTTAGAAGACATAAGGGGATTTGTTGCCTTATAAATATATACACTTCACCATGACTTTGGTAAGCACATCTGTTGCCGAGAAGGATAAAACCTGCAGCTTCTAAGAATGACACTGAATACACAAACTTTTAAAGTTGTGTTTAACATCTGACATAATTAGTATTTATGAGTATAAAGTAATGATATAGAGGGGAAAGAACTATGGGAACTTATTATAGTGAATGTCTACTAAATACATTGAACCTGGATATTATACTGAAATTATCTAACAATCACTACTAAATAATTCCATCCCAACCCATGGAATATACATGGTAATTAAGTTAAGCAGGGGTGTGTGTGTGGCTTAAAAATGTTGTGACATGTAAGGACAACCAGACTGCACTCACTGCAAAGCAGCTCCTGTGCCTGCAGCATGGAACTACAAAGTACAAGCAGCAGCATCCTTATAAGACGATGAAATAAAATCAGTCACATGAATAAATATAACAAGTTGGATCTAGAAATAGGCCCTGTAGAACTCAGTGTATATAACGTGAATCATCATTTGCTTTCTAGAATAAATGTTTTCTATCATTGTGTGAAAATGCCTACTGTATGATGTTTAAAAAGAACAATTCAATACAAATTAATTTTTTTAAAGAGCAAGCATGTTTGACTATTATTAGGCATTATTCTATGTGCATACATGAAGTCACTTATTCCAAGCACAGCATAAAAAAAAGAGGACAAAGGAAAACAGTAGCAAAACTACTCCTGAAATGGAAACTTTGCATGTAGGGAATCTCTCTTTTAAAATTCCCTTAATAGAACTAAATAGAAGAACCTAAAAATATTTAACAGCTAACAAATAAGAGAGTGCGCTCTTCATCAGTATTTAGTCCTATTTTCTCTTTCAATCCTATACATTTTTTTTATTTTTGGTAAATTGAAGTATACAAAACACTGCTATTTTGCAAGCAAGTCTGAGAACACACAGAGAAAGCCAAGAGCTCTCCATACACCCATCAGAGATTTTAAACCTTTTTATCTTATTCCCTATATTAACAGGGGCTTTTGATGCACTTAGAACTACCCTTGAAACTATAGTCTACACTTTAATTGTAAGTAACTGTATTAGTAATAATTACTACATCACCAGTACTAATTACTTATATTATGAACAGCAATTAACTTATTGGTTGTTAATACAGTTCAGTATTTTCCAATGTTAAATATGCAATAAGTGACTTACACACATTACTGAGGAAACAGCATCGCCTTTAGTATTTTTAAGCTAGAGGTAAACTACTGAGTTAGACGTAAGCTCCTGGAAAGTTTCTTCAAAAATCCCCTTTTAATCAATGTAAACTTTCAATAATTCCCAAAGCATAGCTGGCAGTCATATTTCATAGTAAACACAGGGAGCCAAGCCAGGATATGACAGATGAACTGCCAAATAATGGCTGCTATTTGCAAGAGAATTGAACTTTGCACTAAACTTGGCATAGATTAATTGTGAAACTCTAAAGGGAAAACCTACTTCTGTTTCCAAAATCCATCAAAATTATGAAAGGGGGAAAGTGGCAACAGGAAAGCACTTGTTAAGCAGTGATGAATTATATGCTCTATTAAAATTCATGTTATTTTCATGCTAAAAAGTGAATTCTCTGCTGTTATTAAGACAATCTCCCATTTTTATAGGTACAAGTAAATGCAATATAATATAATTAAATGGGAAAGGAAACTCAGGGAAATCGATATCACAGACATTTAAATATTAGTCTTTGAGAAACCTTTAAATTGGCAGAAATCTCACCAGTGCTCTGCAATTTGATTGCAGTACAACCGGCTGGAGTTTCCAAGCCTGCAGTGATACATATGGGTGCAGTGTCCCTATAAAGATGAATCACAATTGGGCATCTACACCCCATACAGCTCTGAAAAAATCAAATTATTGCCTACTCTCAAAGCTGAGACGTGCTTCTAGAGAGGCAGGCAGCCCCAGCACCGCACTGACCGGGAATGGGGGCTGTACACGGACTGGCGCCGTGAGGACCTAGAGAAAGAAAACCGAAAACGGAGCAGAAAACTCTCAAAAATAAATAACTGTTTTTGCAGAAGTGACTTTCCCAGACCGACAGCTCTGCTTCTGCTCAAAGGGGTTTGGATTTGCTCTGGAGATGGGCCAGAACCCGGGCGGGCTCCAGCAGAGGGAAGCAGAAGAACACGGAGGCATCTCAGCAGAAACCCCACGGTTCCCCGTCTGGGCGCTGCCACCGAGCTCCGTTTTGCCCCCCTGCAGCAGCACTGCCACCAGCCCTGCCTTTTCCTTTGTTTAGCACAAATGAATCCATTTCCTTTATTGAACAGCAATGGAAAGCACCCCCCTGCGAGGAACCATTCCATAATTTTTCTGGCTCAAAGAGGGGGTGTGCAGTAATTGAAAGCGCATGGTTAACCAGCAGCACATCAAACTGTGCCTTAACACATCACAAAACAGCTTATGAGCGTTATATTTCTGAATTCTTTCTAAAAGCTCCCCTTTTGATTAGAATTTTATTCCCCTTGATAGCAACATTGAACCAACTATAATTTTACAGGCATTAAATCATCACTTTGCTTTTAAGTATAAAATATACAAAAAACCACCACATGTGAGTTCGCACCAGTGGAGATTTTATACACAAAGCAGCATCATATTATTCCTTGTTAAAGTCCTTTTATAGTATGGGACCTGACAGTATCAATAACTGTGTCCCCAGAGCCACGTATCTCAGCCCAAAGCCCCTGAACCTATCCCCGTATTGCCTTTCATTCAGCACCTTCCAGGTGACACACCGAGACCTGGTGTGAGTTTTGGAAGGAATTTAAATCAACATCACAAGCAGATCTGTCGGTGCCAGAGCCTGTACCAGTGATCAGGGTGGAGGGGAAAAATGCCTGTTTTCAGTCATTAATACCAACACACACACACACTAACAGGGCATTAGACAGGATATAAGATTAATTAGTTTTCTGAAGCTGCCTATGGCTGCTGAAAGGGTTCTTTCCCTATCTGCACTGCTGGTTTTGTGATCATTAAGAAGCAGAAAATGCA